CTCTGGCACTGCCAATCCCTCGTGCAACGAGAAGTTGGACCCTTCCTTCCAACAGTGCTACACCGCAGGTGTCTTCTTCGGTCCCAACGGGCACAAAGGCACTCGACATCGGCGGCAGGTTTACGTGGTTTGTCAAGGACTCACACTGCTGCTAACGTCGCTTTGCGATTTTCCGCCGATGGGACAGGTTTCCGAAGCGTCAGCTTGTTCTCTGCAAGGTCGATGATGGCGCCGTATTCCCACAAGAAGTCAATTCCGAGAATGACGTCCCTTGAACAGTCTTGCAGAACGACGAACTTCACAGGGCAAGTTTCACCGTGGATCCCAACGCGAGCAGTGCACCTGCCGACAGGTGTGATGAGATGTCCGCCGGCGGTTTGTATCTGCGGTCCGTGCCACGACGTCGTAACTTACCGAAGGCGACAAGTCTCTCACTCAAAACGGAGTAGTCTGCTCCGGTATCAACGAGTGCTGTCGCGTCGTGGCCGTCGATGATAACGTTGAGGCTATTCGATACTCTAGCAGAAACGTCGTTTCGGGGCGTTGCGGCGTTAGAGTGGGAGAGCTCGGACGATCTTGGAGGATCTTGGCATCGTTCGTCTTCGGCAACACCACCTCCCGGCATTGCCGCGCCTAGTTTTCCCTACGGGAAGCGATGGGAGACGGGCTGTCTGGACGAGACCGGCGGAAGGGCGATGGCGAGCAGCGCGGAGACGGTGAACGGAATCCTCGACGTGGAGACGACTCAGGGGATGACGAACGGCGGAGGTAGTCCTCGTTATACCGAGGTCGCTCTCCAAGACGTGGTCGAGGGTCGCTGGGCGCAAACCCTCGTAGGCCCAGCTGGCGGTAGGGATATCGATGGTAGATGTGGTCCGCTTCACCACTGTGGTATCACAGCAGGCGTCGTCGGCCGTTCGCCACACATCCGTCTTCATAGGCGCCGGTTGTTCAGTACGGACGTGCTGGGGCTGCCCTTCCTGACGTCGGAAAGCCTGCGGCTCTGGCTCACGTCGCGGCGGCGTGGAATACTGCCGTGCAGCTGGTGTTGGTCTCCGAGCTACTGGCGCGTAGGTAAGGGAGGGCTCCTCGGGTGCTGCTACGCAGGTAGGAGCCTCCGGTTGAATTGCCGGCTGAACTTCGCGTATCACTTCGGCTATCGATAGCTAAGCGGGCTGGTTGGCAGCGGGCAGCAGCTTCCTGAGCTCTTCCCGGACGACGTCTCGAATTACCTCGCGAATGTCTGGGAAACTGGAGCCTAGGTCGAAGCTAGACAGCACGAGGGCAGCGAGGCCGGGTGGTCGATGGTAGTGACTGGCTCGGGCTTGCAGGGCACGGTTGATGTTCATCGCCTCGGTGACAAAATCTTCGACAGTTGTCGGAGGGCTACGAACAAGGCCGCCGAAGATGTTTTCTTTCACGCCCCGCATGAGGATTCTAACCTTTTTCTCTTCTGTAGCATGAGGGTCGGCGCGGGCGCTCAAGCGCAGAACGTGTTCCACGAAGCCGGTCATGCTCTCGTTGGGGCCTTGAGTCCTGGTACGAAGCAAGTCTTCGGCTCTCTCTCGGCGGCGCTGGTTGACAAATGTCGCCTTCAGCTGGCTCTTGAAAATGTCCCACAATGTCAATGAAGACTCGTAATTTTTGTACCAGTACCTGGCAGTCCCCTCAAGCGAGAAATACACGTTTTACAGCCGTTGCTCATTGGTCCAGCAATCGTGGCGGGCGACGCGTTCAAATTGGTCGATCCAATTTTTGACGTAATCGTGGAGTTCGTCGTGAAACGGAGCAGCCGTCCGTGGTGCGACGGGCAGGTAGATGAAAGCAGAAGAGGCCTGCCTCTGCGACTGGTTGGCCATTGTCGGCCTCGTTGGCTGCCTAGTCCTGGGTGGTAGAAGTTCGTATTCCGGGTGTAGACCTTGAGTGCGGCGACTTTGAGAAAAAAGAAAGAAAGATAGCAACAGAGCGTCGCGGGCATCGAAGGCGGTGAAGCAGCAGGGTCGAACGCTGAGGCGAAACTGAGTCCGGCTGGCCACGCGGAGCCTCTTTTGTACACGCGTGGGCTTCTGGAACAATCGGCGTGGAAGGTTCGGCGTGGACAACATTCTAACACCGAATCAGCCAACACGGTTCTCAAATTTGCCAGAAAAATACATAAGAGTCAACATAAATGCGAACCCGCGGCCATGAATCGAACCCTGGCTTTCGGCGTGGAAGGCACGCGCAATAACCGTTAGGCCACGAGCGCGCTGCCTACTTAGTCAGCTGCGCTCGCGGCAATACGCAACATGGCACGGCCGCCGGCAAACAGATTACATTTCGCTTTTCAGGCTTGTATCGCAGAATATATATCCCTAGTGTGATCGTCACCCTTCCCTTGCATCATTCAGTGCGATTCACCTCTTCGTCTTTGCAATGTATCCATTATTTTCTCCTTGACCCCTCGCGTAGAGTGAGCGCTGCCCACCGAAACTCGTTTCCTGCTGTAGTGTTTTTGTTCAAATAAAGTTTATTCTTTAACGTATTTGAAAATGTGAAAATCAACTTAGATAGAGTAAAACGGTAAAACATAAGTTGGAGAATACTTCTTATTAGTGTGTTGTGATATAAACAATCGCTGTAGAATCCCTCTGAGCAAAATCATATTTTCAACCGTGATAACATAACATGCGCCGTTCAGAAAGCTGGCAGTAACTGATCATAGTCGTCTAAAATAAACAGAGAAGGCGAAATTACTATCAAATATAAATAATTACATTACTAATTACTTTCTAAAACTGCGAAGATAAAAATAAATTACATTCCAAATTACCACAGACTAAACGTCTGACGCTACATTACAATTACTTTCCAAAAGTCATGAAATTACTTTGACATTACCTTTAAATATCTTGAGAGAGTAATTTTTGCTTATTTACAGTGTATGTACTAGAAACCCGTTCTTCTTGTTTACATCGTAGCATCTTCATGCGCCTCAAAATGATCCATACAGAACAATTGTTCCGCGGGCGCACACGACGGAAGTGTTAAACACGATGAATGGCTTCTTCTTTAGATGTGACTCAAAGACACACCGGTTTCGCTCTGAACTCAGTGAGGATTTTCCTTTGTTTAAAAGGAAAATTTGGCTGTGGGTATGTTTATACAACCTGAACTTAGTGTGCCTCAACGGGCGAATTTTCTCTCAGCTGTAGATGATCAATTTAGCCGCTGCAGTACAACCGCTAGCCTGGGGTCTTTAGCGTGCCCCGCGCCTCAGTGATACACGACCACACGCCGGTACGATGCTCATCCAGATCGAAACAGGCAGGAGTGGGGATAGAACCCGGGATCCCTGGACTTTGCAGCGCGAGCTTTCGGTCCACGTGCTCCGAACTTGTGTGCGCTAGCCCACTCGGCCACCGATCCCCTCATGTAGCGCTAACTTAGCGCTCCTCTGTATGTGTGAACAGGTCTTAAAAGCCCGGAGCTCGCTCTTGTAGCTTCTACCACGCCAACATTGAAAGGGACCTTGAAATTAATTTTCGACTGGGAAGACAAACTGAAGAGCTCCAGTTTTCTGTCTACAGAAAACCGACACATATACTTGACGTTATCTACATTTCCATTCCAATCACCCAGCCTGTCACAAGGCATCAGCGGTCAGAACGCTCTTATCTAGGTCAAAAAATATCTGCTCATCCGAAGCTGACCGTAAAAAAGAAGAACACACCATCTTCGCCGACCTACAACTAAACGGTTATACACGCAGCTTCATCCGCCGCATTGCGCGCAATCAAGCCCGAGATCGCCGACACCAGCAACTCCCAGCAAGTACACAGACCCGTCCTACCTCACGCATCAGCGTTCCTTACATAAAAGGTACAAGTGAGGCGCTGGCACGTGTACTGGCCAAAGAAGGAATCGAGGTGGCCCTCAAGCCGATGTCTACGCTTGGAAGTCTCATGCCCCGTCCAAAGGATCGCCCGCCTAGCAAAAAAGCACAAGGCGACATCTATAAAATTCTCTGCGCGGACTGCCCGGTCGCATACATCGGGGAAACGAAGAACTTTCAGGAGAGAATCCGCCAGCATAAGAACAATGTTCGAAACTTCGGTCATGAAGAAAGCACCGTAGCTGTGCACTGCGACGTCAAGGACCACAGAATCGACTTTGCCAACACCAGCATGCTGGCTGTTGAGACCAATGCCAGACATAGACTTTTTATTGAATCCTGGCATATATAAACGACGCCAGAAAACATAAATAGATCCCTCGGCACTCTGCCGACCGGCTATGAGAACGGACTTCGCCACCTCACCGATGCAAAACGATAGACACTGCCGTAGAAAAAGAAAAAAACAGAATACTGCTCCTCAAAGGCCGTAGCCGCAGTCAACCCCTGAAGAAGAGACCGAGCAGGTCTCGAAACGCAGGGTTCCGCCTTTAAGCGAGGATTTGGTTGTTGTATATTTTATTTATTATTATTGTTGCTCCCCAACCAGAGAGACTTCTCTCAAATGTTCACCTTCAAGTCATTACTAGAGTATCGTACACTAATATAAAAGCGGGTGATATGCCAGTTGAGAACAAGTTAGAAACATATTACAGCGTCCCTGTCTAGACGCCATGTAGCGAATGCTCTGCGAACAGCAAAAAAAAAAAAAAAAAACTTGACCTTGTTGTACGACCGCTTTTTGTGTGGCTCGACAACCACCATTCTGATGAAACGCGAGCCAAGAATAATGGACTAAATTCGTCGGGTTTTTTTTCCGCCTATTCTCTCCGTAGTGTCCAGCCTTTAATGTATCGTGCATTTTTTTGATTGATTCGGATTGCTTTTTACAATCTAAGAGAGGCAGGGCTTGGCTTATGTTAAATTTTCTAGCTTGGTAATTGGTTCTGTATTCTCATCAGCCAGTCTATCAAGTAGGCTGCGTAGCGTTCATCACATTTTTGGCACTCCCTACGACCTGCCTTACTTCAGCGGTTAATGCGTACAAATGTAGCCGCTTGAACCGTTTCTGATAGAAAAATCTTTATTTTGAGCAAGTTTATTTTCTTCCATGTTCTCTAATGCTGCCTACACATCTCGATGACTCAGGAGGCGTCCGTCTTGACAGTTCCCACGGTACCTCGAGTGGCGTCCAGAAGAATGGTGTCCCCTGAACGACAGGACACGAAATAGTAAAAGAAACGCAGTCGTGAGCACAAAACGTTGTAAAAGGACTTATCAATGTGTTGTTTTCTATGCACAATACAGTAATACCATTACAGAAAACGATCAACCCCGGGAGTTTTCTTTTTTTTACTTTTTTGCTACGACTGAAAATTATTTTTACTTTCGCCTCTCTGTTACATTATTTAACTAATTCATAAACGTAAATCGTTCCTTCATCATAGCGAGCAGACATACAATACCGAGTTAAATGTGTGGCACCGCCTCCAGCGTATTTAGGTATTCGTCTAACTCCTGAAGGATTTTTTTTATTTGCAGCAAGGTTCTCATTTTACTAAAGGCATTATTGTTTATTTAAAGCTTAGTGTTCGTCTGAATTTTTAGTTGGACGTTTGACATTCGTCTTGTCTGCTGCCTATCGCTGTTCTCTGTAAGCTTCATCACAAATTTTAAAATGAAGGTATTGTCTATTCCTCGTTTCATTACTATATTGTGGCGTCCAAACGGTTACCTTAGTGCAGCATATGAGTGTTATCACATCGTTTTTTTTTTATCTTGTGTCTTGTTATTGGACTGGTCCTGACTTAATCAACTCCTGCAGCATGCATCCACCACTCAGACAGTACACAGCTAACAACTATCAGAGCTTGACGTTGTCGGCTTCTTGCACAATCACGTCGGCCAATTGAACCCCACAAAAACATTCGCATTAAAAACTAATTCCTTCCAAATTAAAAGTGTGATAATATAGCGTAGTGCAGATCACATTTAACGACTGATTGTTTTAGTTAGGGTGCCAACGCCATAATACACTAGGATTGCAGAGAAGCCCTTGAACGCAAACATGTTCGACAGAAGTATGATTACGTTGGTTGGCATTTTCAACCTGGATTTAACGTTAAGAGCCCGTGCACATTTCTCAACCGACACGGTATTTTGTTTTCGGGACGCCTATCATCGTCCAGGAGCAGTGGTTTCATATTCTACTAGAGTGGCAATCTGATTCTTTATTTTACCTAGCGTATATAGCTCGCACGTGATGTCAACTCACCATGCTGGTAGTAACTCACGTGTGTCCTTGCCAAGAAAAAAAATGAAAGACGTTTACAAGTCCCTGTAATGCCGAATTAGAGCGCAGCTCTTGAGGAGGGGGTAGGGAGGGGACGGAGGGGACGGTATGCCCCTCCTCCCTCATCTACTCCTCCCCTGTTCTCCTCCTTCTCTTCCTTCTCCCCCTCTTCCCTCCTCCCACCCGCGCGGTGCGTTATGGAAAACGTCCCATAATGAAACGCGCGCGTCACCGGGGTGCATTATGGGACGTTTCTCATAATGCACCGCGCGGTTGCGCCGACGGCGACTTTGATGCCAACGCGTCACGCCGACACGTTACGTCGACGCGTTATGCCGACGGGTTACAGTTACGCCGACGGTGACGGCGACGCTGACGCGTCACGCCGACGCGTTACGGTTACGCCGACGCGTTACGGTTACGCCGACGGCGACTTCGACGTCGACGGCGACGCCGTTCAAGCCGGAGACGGGCGCCTGAAAGAGTTGCGCTCTAAAACACATTCAGCTGTGCAATACAAATGCTCCAGAAGGTGACCGTTCTGCAGCAAAGTCACCACATTGCGGTTTATGCGATGTCAGTGCTAGTCACATATAGGAAGTTTGAGTCACAAATTGAGCTAGTTATGTTCCCTGGAGTGAATGAAACGCGTCATTAATATGCAGAAGGCTTCTGAGGGGCATTAGTCAAAATATTGATGTGGCACTTTTATATAAATTTTCATGCTTTGTTCGTCGACATTCTAATATTCAGCCTCAGGGTTGCGCAGTGGTTGAATTAACGCTCATCATAGTTATGCTACTGGAGCTTCAATGACGCCCTTACATTCGGAGATATGTGTGTGTTTGTGTGTATGTCTGGGGGGGCGGGGGCAGTGCATGCAGCAGATCCCATGAACAGCATGGGAATCTATTGGAGATAATCCTTCCGTCGTAACAAAAAGACGTCCAAGTGTATACATCAGCTTGCGGGGCGTCTGCATGCTTTCTTTTATCAGCATACGTTCCAGTGCCGTGTTATTGTCACTGACAGGTCGAAAACGGCAGGGCGTTTTCTTTGGACTCACGACCGCCTTCACTGCGCTCATTGCCTTCCGTCCTGCTAGGGATGCGTGTCAGCACTTGAGGATTACGAGACTCCGAAATGCTATCGAAGGTAGCAAGCTCACCCTGAAGTAGGAGCTACAACTAAAACTCAGCTCTTATACGTTCGCGTCCCTTCAGTTTCTAAAGTGACTTTTATAGAGAGGTCACTGATTCACGTGGTCTAACAGGACTGCGTAGATCCATGGCGCCCCAGTAGTCAATGAGCGCGAGCTTTGAGGATAGGCAATGCAAGGGATACAACTCTTGTATTCGTTCACTTTGAAGTTCGAAAAAATGACTCGCTTTTTTTGTACCAATTTTAACGATCACATATTACAGGCCCTTGAGAGAAATGTTCTAATCACCTACACCCAGTGAGTCATCAACTGGTTTGTGCAAAACCGAGCATTCCGGGCATTGTTATTCGGCTTCCTCTAGACCAGGGGTGGCCAGGCTGCGGCTCGCCAGCCGCATGCGGCTCTTTGCGCGTTAAAGTGCGGCTCGCGGCTTCCTCCCAAACCTCGTCCCCACTCCACCTCCCCGCTTCCCTCCCGGTCACACGAGCACTTCCCCCCAAAAAAAGTGGAACACGTTTTAAATTAAAAGACAGGTTGTGGTTTGGTTGTATTGTGCTACTTTAAGTACACTTGAACTGCTTTTGACTCGGATAGACTGAAAGTAGTTCGAGTGTTTATAGCTCCAGAAAAAAGTTCGGTCCCCTCCCCCCCCCCCCCCCCCCCCGCCTCCTCCCTCCTGCGGTTCTTGGAAGTTTCGTGGTTTTGTTTGCGGTTCTTAGGCCGGGTCAGCCTGGCCACCCCTGCTCTAGACGAATAATTCGATATTTTCTTGAGGGAACAAAGTGCGTGGGATTAGACCCTTAACGGTTTTATGCATTTCCGTCGTGTTTATCTAAACACAACCATAGTTGCCGCTATAGAAGAGACCGACACGGTTTCGAAACATTGTAATACATAAAGCTTGACCTTGGTTCAAAGTCGTCATTCGGTTTTATTGGAAAAAAAGACATCAATAGATTTTCTTGTTACCAACATAATGATACAAATGCGTCCTACTGATCTCCAAATAGGGTGAAATAGTGCGTTTTTTTTTTTTTTTTTTTCAAAAGAAAAGACACAAAAGACACCATTGCTTCATTTCCAGTCCCAAAGACAAATGTAAACCCGAGAGCATGCCACTATATGAATAGTGCAGCGATGCGGCTATCAAGGAAAAGTAAAAATAAAAAAAAAATTATCAGTGGCAGATTGTAGTAGTTGAAGGCATGCTATGTTCAATCTTTAAATTTCTTTCACCACTAAATATCTTTGCCACTGTTACTAGTAAAGACTTACCTGACACAAAGATGTCTGTGGCGTTTTCGACTCCAACAATGCAAGGCAGGCCGTACTCTCTCGCAATCACAGCACCTTCAAACACAAAGACGCAATCAAAGGTACACGCGTGTCGGTACGCTCGACAGTTGTGAAGCAATATTGACGCCACAGTTACACTTGTTGGAGACAGAGCAATTTATAGAGAAATAGTTTGGTCAGTGGTGGGTTCTTCTAAAACGCTCGTGAAGTAGTCACGAAAAGGTTATCAAAGCGTTTAACCGACATCATGATCGCTTTTTGGACTTTTATTTTGAATCTCACGAGAAATGCTGCGCAATAGGAAGTGCCTGAACCATCGCCTGTTTGATCTGCCTCACTCTCCAGGACGGCCAGTGAACAACAGCAAGGATGTAACCTACGACAAGTCACTTGATCACTCTGGTTACTACTCTCGAGCACAGCGGTCTGTACAGTGCGAGTCAGACATGAGGACCAAAATGACTACCCTTTCTCTCAGTCGAGGTTTCTAAGGCATACTCTTAGGCTCGAAAAAAAAAAGCAGTTCAGCAAGTCAATCAGTTGTAAGAGACGGCCGGAAGTGGTGCAAGTATAGCATAAATAAACCTTGTGATAAGACAGTGCTGGTGACTGGAGGCTGAACGGCAACAATCAACAAAATACTATCACGTAATAGCTGACTTCTGTTATGGCACCTATAAGCGCTGTTCTATATAGGGTGTTTTCGTTAAGCATTACACACTTGTTTTTTTTTTTTGTTTTTTTTAAATCTGTAAAAGTTATGAGGCCGTTTTTGCAGGTGACTTATACGGCCAGGCGGACATTGTATAAAGGGCTAATCGTAACGATTAGTCCGCCAATTAAATAAAATGTGTTATTAACTTTTAATTTGTGAAAATACACATATGGTTCAAACTAGATACTTGCAGAGTGTCATCTGAAACCACTACATCAACTTTTTTTAGAAGGATCTAACACAGGGGCAGCATTTTATGGCGTTCCGTAAAAACACTCAACTTCGACGTGTTTCCATGCTTCGGTTCCTTACCGGACAGCATCTCTGCGCCCGCGGTCCTGCTCCCCAGTGGCTGAGACGCGCAACACAAATGTGCCCTACTTCTCTCCACCCTCACAAGGTGGAAAGATATCTCAAGTGTTATTATACAACGTCGCAGTGGAGCGCATACAGTCGTAATGCAATCGGCCGTACTCATTAGTAAATGTCTTAACCAGCCTTAAGGGAGGACGTGGACCTGGAAACGCCGGAAAATAGGAAAAAAGGAGTGCCTGGGCTAAATCCTCTCAACAGTTACATCAGGGTGGTGACTGAGAATTTTCGTGCCTCAAGCTTCACGATTAGCACATGTAAAAACACTGCTTTGTGCGATGCTATATGCTTGTTGAACCTACTTGCTGTAAATAAGCAGTAAAACTTTCCCTTATGCGCCGTTATGTATTCACACCCGAAACATCCTTTTTTAAATTCCCGTTTACAATGCGACGTGTAAAGTTGCATCCCAGTTGATTTATATACAACTTTAAAAAAAAACGCCTGAGCGAATCAGTTTGCAGCGTTGCCTTTATCTTGAGACATTCTCGAAAATGAGCCCTAAAAAACAAAGCGCAAAAGGGTTACGCTCATTTGAACATGTATAGGCTTTATTATCTTGAATCAAAATCAAACTATTTGGTTTTGTTTAATCATCCATTGTCTTGGGCCTCAAATTTCAGTTATTCAAGACTTGAAGTCCCCGTTTTTGTGTCTCAGTTAATTGCATGGCCTAATTTAAGTATGTCTGCGTTCAGACTTCGTCCACGTCATAGTATGTTATCTCTAGCTCTTATCTCTTAAGCATCAAGAACTGGTTGCGCCTAAAAAATCGTGGGACATCCAGTGCCCCATGAGTAACCAGAGATTCGAGTTTGGTCGAAACCAAGGCGACGTTCTCTTACCGTGCGAGAGCAGTCCCCCGATTTCGGTGACGATGCCAGCCAGCAGGGGGAAGTAGGGACTCCAGCCGATGTCAGTCGCGTTGGTTATCAGGATATCCCCGGGCTGTGGGAAGTCGCCTGACTCTATTTTCCTTACACAACAATCATAGCAAATATAGGAATCCAGTATTTGAACATTGACCTAATAATTAGCGCGCGTGTTCAGGGAGAGTGGCCTATTTCAGAAATCCTTTGATATGTGCCTGTTTGAATCTGTGTTGGAAATAATTTTTAAAACAAACAGCGTACAGCTTGTGCACTTCGCACAGTCCAGGCGCATAAAGCGAGTAGTTCCTAGAAGTCACACTTCCGAGATGCCAAAGCGCAGGGCACTGGCTAGAGATTAGGCGAAAACGTTGAAACGCGTGCCCTCACAAAGCTGACGCAGGATTGCTCTACAATCTCTGCTCTGCACTAGCGTCCAGTAAGTGACATAGAAAGGCCAGCAGCTATAGCCTCGGTTTCTGGAAAGTCTTGCATTGAAGGCGCGCTCCTCCAAATATCATGAAACACGCAAAAAGGATAGTTGTTAAATCGGTTGTTCGCGCGGCCCAGATAGGCGTCGTTCGAGGCAACATGCAAGCATTTGCAACCTCGGCTTTGCTGACCATATATAGAACGCTGTGCGATGTCACTCTACCTAGGGAATGCCATTACAATCTTTTCCGGACTAGTCCGCGGACTACACATGTTTGAAATTTTAAGTTTTACGCGGTGGGGCTATATAGAGGTACGAACATAGAGGAATTCTGCTTTTAAAGATCGTTCATTAGGAAGAGACTTGACGGATTTTGTTAATGAAAGAACATGGTAACGATGATTTTTGTATAATACAAGCTGCTTCGTGAGCTAAGCAAACATACATTGGGCAAGGTGTGCCTTGTATAAGATTTCCTTGGCGACTAAGCACAAGGTGCGGACTATGCACGGCGTGTGGACTACACACCGTGTGCGGACTACCTCAGCAAACACTAATTTTTGACACCAAATTCGCCCCTGCGGACTACACACCGGGTGCGGATTATCTTCCGGAAAATACGGTTAGTTGTTTGAAGAATTTAAACATTTCACGTAACGTTCTTAGGCAGTGTAAGGGCGTGTGTGAGTGTGTTGTGTGGCTCTCTCTGTGCGTGCTGGCGTGCGAGCGTGCGTGTGTGCGTGTGCGTGTGTGGCTGGCGTGTACATTTAGTTTATTTAAGTTTTTCTATTTTCGAACCCCCAACACTTTGTTAGTACAGGCGTTAGTTCTAGTTCGTGCTTTTTAAGGATGTTTCTTTTATTGGCAAGGTTCTCGGAATCCTGTGTGTCTATCGCGCACACTGCGCAGCACTGCTAGCTCGAACACGACTTCGACGCTTTGTCACATTTTTTTAGGAAGAGTACTCGCGGGCATCAGACTTTTACCACTAAGGTTATAGCCTAAATGAGCACTTTCCATCACTATAGCAATTTTAAGGACAGTTCTTCAATACTGAAAAAAAACGGCAATGGCTTGTTCGTGCCAATTCTCGAGGAGTGTACGTCGTGGCTGAAAGTGTGACGCGTTCGCTATTGCTGAGTTTGCAAATACGTGTGCAACAAAAGCTATACTTAGTTCCAGAACAGAATATTATGATCATCAATACCGGCTCCTTTCTGCCGAGCCCTGTTTTGTAGATTACGAACTCAAAATGAAGTTAAGAATAGCGACGTTTCTCCTTTCTGATCCCTAGTGTGACGTGCAAAAAAGCCACTATATGGCAGAATACGTCACATCTGTGCATGTTCACTTCATTTTGTCACTTCCCAAAGCACCGTTTGTCAGAAAATTGGCGAGCATTATCATAAACACGTGATGGCGCATGCGAGCTGGTGTATGTAGATCTACTTTTTTTAACCATCTGGGACTAGGCAGAGAACAAAAAAAAACCAAGTGGAAGAAAAAAGAGGAGAATGAAGGAATTAGTTAAATGATTCTTCATATGACCTGTGCAAAGCTGGGCAAGACCTTTCTTTAAAAATAGCTTCAAAATGAGTTTAAATCCGCTCCAGACAGACAAATTAATTAGTACACCGAGAATAAAGTCTTGTTGCAATTCAAGCTTCTATCACTGTTCTCTTTTTCCAAAGCTGCAAAGAATGGACCTTACCTCAATACTTCCTGCGGCGTCTAGTGTCTTCACAACTCTGGCCGGGGCTGTGACACTGCCTCGGCTCACCGGGGTTCCTGCATTGCAGTCAGTTATGGTCAGAATATCGACTTTTGCTCTCTGTCATCTCATCTAAAGCACGCGGAAAACGTGACTACAGCGTGGTGATAAACTTTTGATGCTTTTAACTAGACAATCGCACATGCAGCGTTCTAACGACCGGGATCAGTTGCCGCTCTCCTAAATACGCTAATACCCGCTGCCTTTTGTAACGGCTTGGCTCTATACTCATGCCTAAAGCTAATTTCTTAGCATTGCACAAGCATATTTTAGGAAAGTAATGAAAACAGACGTCTTTCACTTGAGACAGGAAAGTGGATCAAGCTCTTTGTCGTTCTACGACTGTCATCGGTTTTATAAACGCTATACGCCCCTGTGTGGAGTCATGCGCTTGGTTTGTTATTGGGAAGCGGACTGAGAAAGAGATCACCCGACAATCGTTTTGGTTAGTTCCCTTGCAAAAAAATATTAGGTGTCCTAAGCTGAACGCATGGTGCTCATTGGCGATGTCTTTTAGATAGTTCCGTGAGGTCTGTATTGATTCCTTTTTTATCAACTTGCAGTTTGCCACAAATTAATATTAATGAAATGAGGGGCTATTCAAATTTCACGAACCGCTCGAAACGCTTACAGGAGTATGGAATGGTCTACCGGTAGGTCATAAAGCTTTGGGAGGGTACACGTATCATTCTCACTTTTTTTTATAGAGAAACAACAACACTGTTCAATTTATTTGTGCTACACCCTTTTAAATATATAAAAAGAAGCACAAAATATGAACAAAATGTTAAGCATAAGGCTTGTTGTTAACTTCCGGAACAAGCAATATTGACACAAGAGACAGGAAAAGATTGACACAAAGAAGAATAAAAAATGCAATAAAAGAGAACAGAAAATCTGTCTTCTGCATCTCCTTGTACTCATATTTGCGCTCTTTTTATTTCTCTGATCATTCACCGACTGGCCCATCTTCACACCTTCTACACACCTTTATTTTTATATCTTTATTTTTCATCCGCCCACCTGCACGCAGCTCACCTTTGACACTGACATCGCCGACCACGCTGCCATTCTTTGCTCTGTCTACTCGGGTCACCTGCGATCAAGCACAAATTTGTCACAGCGAACACTTAATTGAAAACGATTAGGTGGACGTACGGGACGTGGGATTCCGCGCACAATGTCCGGGAACCGAAGTCGATTTAAAGTCGGGTGTATCCGATGCCTACGAATGGCCCTGCAGAAAAGAACACCACTCCTTCTCAGCGGAACATGCAGAGGTCTTCACACTAAAGAATTACTTATTTGAGCCTTTTCCGAGAAGTCGACTAAAGTTCACGACTAGGGTGAGTCAGGTCAATGGGGGAGGCGATAAGATTTATTTATTTATTTATTTATTCTGTTTATAATGTGCCCCCAAACAATTCGAGACCTTATTAGTGCAAGATAAGGTGACCGTCCGTAGATTGAATTTTATTAATTTCACCAGGCCGGTTCATGCAGCGCTAAATCAACTCTAATAACAGCGCTAATGCGGCGCTGACTTGAACGTAGCTTGGCACTGATGCTACTCTGTATTAGCGCTGTATTTCTAATACAGCGCGAATTTAGCCCTGTATCACCACGGTCAGTGGTGTTTCCAGTGCTAACTAATAGCGCCGAGTTAACGCTTACGTGCATATGTGAAAAGGTCTTAAGTTAGAGCGTAGCCGGCACTTCAAGTCGAAGAGGGCATCAAGCAGCCCTAAATGTGCAGCATCATGTCGCTTGTAGTTTTCGAGTGGTAGCTCCTAGTGGGACGACCATGTCATTCCACAAGATGGCCATATTCGTCTTTCTCCAAAACTCCCGGTAACGTCATCAGCTACGTCATTAACTACGTGATCGCTCTAAGCCGCCATTCAGCGCCACTGATTCCAGCCGGCACTGGGCCGACTCAGCACTAACTGCGACTGACTAACGTTTCTAAAAAAAATTGCGAGGACACCAAAGCACTTTCTAATGAGTTGTGAATGCGAAAGCATGAATATCATTCTTCCGCTCGCTTAATTTGTCTGCGGTGTAGTGGCGTGACGGCCACTTTGCGTTACTGCCGAGGTTGCAGCCGCCGCCGACATATATATGCCTCAGGCGCGGGCACGTTCATCGGCGCCGAAAGGAGCAGAAGCGGCCGCAGCCCCCCCAACACCCTCCGGAAACGCCTGACACGAGAGCGGCGGCCGAGCGCGCGCTCTCGTGAAGCGGCCGCCAATGGCTATCTAGGAGCCGTTTTGCTCAGCCAATGGGAGAATGGGCACTTATTTCGCGTTTTTTGCGGCTTCAGGCGCCACCGGCTTCACTCCATGGGATAGTTAATGGTTTCGCATTCAAAATAAGCTATTTAATCGAATGAAACAACGTCACATTACCTACCTAAGGACGAGCGCTGGTGATCGCGTCTTTAGTAGCCGGTGTAGTTCGTCCATTTCCAGTTGAAAGACCAAATCGGGGTCCGGAAGACGGCCTTCTTCTACCATCTTGCGACCAAGCTTTCTGAGCGCTAGCCGAAAGATGTGGATGCTCCGAACGACCAATGCCTGCACGCAGACATTCGCCCCGAAATATTCAAATTAAAACTATGTTTTCACGAATAGGACAAAATTGAATTACCGCCACTCGAGAACATTAGAGTACCGCTGTGGTGCTCTACGTGTGGAGGCTTGATGATCGCGAGGTCAAAAGCAGCCCCGCAAGTCAAGCTAACGAACGCAACGCGGCATTAGCGAGTTTTAGTAGACTGTGTTTTCCCCTCCACTACCCGGAACTCTACAGCCAAGGCCATCGGCGCGCAGGCGCACTGGCGGTTTCTTCATAGCGGAGGGCTAGCGGAGGGGGAAACACGGTCTACTAAAACTCCCTGTTATCGGAATGCGTGAAGCAGTGCACCCTAACACCTACCAAGAATGGGCGGATTGAGCGTTTTATTATACTATGCAGAGGCATTCTTCAGCTGTAAGTCTAAATATAATCACTTATTGTTCGTTCCATTTCTTGACTCTTTCTTTTCATTTATAACACAATTTCCAGATAATTAACTGGCCTTTGCCGTTCTGGCGCTGCTCGCAGCCTACAGATAGTACTAAGGTGATAGTGACACATGAGAAATGAAGCACACAAAATATTAGATGCTGTGATAAAATTTTGGCTCGGTCTAGTTCGTTCATATCATTTAAATTTAAAAAAGGCGAACCGCAACAAGGACGAAATAACAAGTATGTGCGACAAGGGAAGCGCTACTTACAACTGATTACAGAAAAAAAAAAACATTAAATTAGCCGATCTCTCGTTCGCCATATCGTCAAACATGTCAAGAGCAGAAAGAAATGATACGAGTGCATGTTGTGCCCTACAGGCACAAGGTGTCGCACAGTTTGAAAAAGGTAGCTGTTAGGCACAAATTAAATGTTGTATTTTCAGCCCCTTGCAAACTCTCCAGGATCTATTCGGCCATTTAAAAAAAAAAAGTGTGTCCCGTATTCCAAGGAAAATGTTACGAGGTACACGGAATATGCTACAAAAAGGGTCAATGATATTCCCTTGAGTTGCGGCCGTGTTTATAGTGGGCAGACGCGGCGTTGTTGTAATGAGGGCGATGGAGCACAGCATCCCTGTGCGTGTCCATTCGGGGGCCATTGTAATCGTTGCGGTTGCGAACCGCTTTTAAATACGACGAAGTTTCTAAGAGGATCGTATGAAAAGACGGAGACAGGAATCGTTGAAGCTCAACAGGCTTGAAAAGTATATGAGCAAGCCGTTTATTTTTCTGCTCAATAAGAAAATAGCTTTTTTTAGATGGCTTCATGTGAACCTGCCAATACGTTATCGGTTTATGGCTTACTTATCGGTATGGTGAACGACAAACTGCCAGAGTGAATATTTCTGCAATAAAATTAAAATAGATCCATCAGTGGATCTTTAAGCAATGCGTTATCATGATCCCAGGGAAACTCCAACGCCCCCAGGGCTGCCAACCCGAAGGACTTTTTTCAGATTAAGGTAATATTGAGGTCTCTGTGGGAATAAGGAAAATCTTTCTAGTTTAGGGAAATGTGGGGCACCATATATACCTGGAATTTTTATATGTCATTTTTTTCGACATAACATCGAATTTTAGCGGCTTTGGCGACATTTGGGTTATTCCCTCCAGCGGTCTGGCGGTTTGTTGTGCGACCATCTAGCAACACTGAGGAGCGCACAAACAACTTTTTTTAGCAAAAGAAGTTTTCATCACCCCCGTGAAAACTGCGCAGTAAGAAGCCAGCCAGGTCGAAGCTTGTCAAAGCTTCGCACAGCCTTCTCAAAAAAAAAAGAAAAAAAAAAAGCTTGAGCGCGAGGAGAAATACTGCGATGTTTGGAGATACAGAGTTTCCATCACTAATACTATTTCGTGGAGTGCCGTTCACGGAATGGTCCTTACTGTCTGTCGCGTGTCATCTGTTCAAGTTGAAGAACCATTGCTTCTGTTACACTTTTTTTTATTTGGACTGACTATTATAAAAAGCGCTAATAAAGTAATAGAAGCAGTACCATTTTCGGATGACGCGCATAATATCTAGTGCGTAAATAGAGTAGCCTTCGTGAGTTTGATTCTGCCGCGGTACTTCCCCTCGCCAGATTTCGTGTGGCTACTACGGTTTTGGCCCGATAAACTAATTTTTGCGGCACGCACGCGAGGCGTAAAGGCTGTACATCTTTCATCGTAAAAAATGAAAGTTATGCAGAAAACAACGAATATTTAGTATTATATTATTATTTATGCAAGCCAGGAAAATTTCAGCCGGAATAGAGAAAATAAAGGCGTCCGCTAGGTAAATTCTGACTTCCAGTGTTGGCAGCCCTGCACCCCCCCCCCCCCCCCCCCCCCTTTGGCAAGCGCTGACGCTGACCCCTTCACTTCTCCCTCTGACCTTTCTGTTTTGCATCCTCTATTATTGTGGAATTTATGGCATCGTTACGAAGTAAGTGTTAGCGTTTCCAAAAGAAGACGTGTGTGACGTTTCCCAAGGGTCGTGGTAACGCATTCCCTAGGAATCCACCAAAGGATCTTCCTTTAATTGTTTTGCGGCGAAGCGGGCTCGGCGAGCCTGCTTCGCCCCAGCCTGTGTCGCCCGCAGACCCGCTGCTGCTTGCTGCTTGCGCCGTATTCCGGCCAGCCGAGCTAGGCGCTGCTTCCGGCCCCCTGTCTCGTTCGCCCGCCTTGCACAGCAGAGGCATCCGCTGCCCGACGCTGTTGCAAGTTCCGACTAGCCCCAGCATCCGCGCGCTCATTGGCTTCCGCCCCTTGACGTCACTTCCCTCTCGCTTTTGTCGTTCCCTGCTTTCCTCCTCTCTACGCTACCCGCTTCCCTTTGTCTCTTTTATTCGCAGACGGACGGCATCAGTTTTTCGCTGTCATGTAGGTACTAAGGCTAAAGCATTAAAACTCAGAGAAGCGCCATTCCATGTCGTACATGTTTCTTGTTTCGTCCGTGTTTCCATTCGCGTTTTTGAACATTTTAAATTATGTGTCGTAATGTTCTTTTTTGTTCTGTAACTTTCAGCCTCGTCATTCACATTGATCATTGCGTGCTTCACGCAATACGTTAAATACATACTTTGACTTTTTCCCCCGCCACAAAGTAAAACCTTGTAAAATTAGTTTCATCAAATGACATTAATTGATCGACGAATCGGCTCGCGATCCTAATTGAGAGCGTCCCTCCTGTACCGCTTCACGCAAGGAGAGACCGATTTGATATTAGAAAGTTTCCATACGTAGGGGCCCCTATTCTAGAACTGCCCAATGTGAGTCAATGTAACTGACATTGAAGCTTACTGTTTGGCGGGGGACTACGTCTAGTTGAGCATATTGCAATAGCTTACTGTAGGGAAAGTTACAGCCTAAAACGTGCTTCAAAAATGTTACGATGGAAACGGCTGTGCAAAGCAGCTTGAATATTAACAGATGGAAAAAAACGAACCTTGCCGCCCTCTCGGTTTGCCACGGCGCGCTTCGTTTGCGGCACCAAGATCCGCAAGGCATGTCTGGAAGAGATAACATAACACAGCTCGCGACTCCCATGAAAGAAGTAGTGCATTTTGGCTTGTACTGACCTTCTCCAGAAGTTAAGTGGCGTAATCAACTCAGCAGGAGCTGACTCCTTCGTCGTAGTCTCCTCCCTCGAAGCTCCGTCCTACAGCATGAGGTAGAGATATGTGTGTAAGCATGTCTGTTAAGGAGACCATTCACATTAGTATGCCTAGAATTATTGGCGTTCAAAACGGCACGTCGGGGGCGGGAGAGATCCGTTCTGCTACGTAGGTTTAACGTAAAATCTTCAATTATTTCGGGGGTTTTCATGGAGATAACAAAAGTATTTCTTTCCCACTCTTAACAACGGGAAATAAATGTCAACCGAAGCGTACCAACGTGAGGGGGAGACTTATAAAGGTCTCCCTTTCACGGATATGCGAACATGTGTTGTCAGATGTAACCCAGACAACTCAAAAGAACACTACGATGGGAGCATAATGATAGTATTTTTGTAATAAAGCCGCATCTGCAACAGTTAATTTTTTTTATTGGTTTACTCGCATTAAGATATTTATGTTCCAAAAAAAACGGGACGTGACGCTTCAGTGAGACGCAATGCTGGCACGGCAGAAATGTTCATTTGAATCGGTACTGTGGATGCGTGAACAACGTAAAGCATGGTTTAAGGTATATATATATATAGAACACGGGCACTTCACACCATCGTACGTGGTCTCCAAGGAGGATATAAACGAACATATGCAGATAAATGCACCGTACTTAATCCAATGAATCAAAGAATCAAAGCTTTCAAGAACCCACCGAAAGCCAAAAAAACCGCTTCCGGCGGGTTCCTGAAAACTTTGATTCATTGGATTAAGTACGGTTCATTCATCTGCATATGTTCATTTATACATATATATATATATATATATATATATATATATATATATATATATATATATATATATATATATATATATATATATATATATTAGGTGTCAAGCGGTTAGGCCACACATCACGGCAAACGCTGTGCCGCGAACGACTATGTAAACTTCTATAGGCGCGTGCCCGAGTAGCCACAGCCGGCGAACGGCAAAACTCAGAAGAGAAAACGAAACATTACAAACAAGGTGCCTAGTTTCCGTGGAACACAGGTGCTCGATCTTTCTGCTTGAAGCTTTTGCTTTGACTTTGACGAACGCTGCCTTAAACAGCGCGCATGAGGCCTTTCTGCTTCAACTCGTTCATAAAACTATAAATGCCACCGTTGAGTCACAAAACTATGATCAACGACGAAGCAGTGGCTAAGCAACGCGCGTAGCAGCGCAAGTGCCAACTTGTACATGTGGCGCGCCCGGAAAACGTCTGTTCAAAAAAGAAAAAAGAGTTTTTTCAAAGAGAATCATGGGAACCTGGGCCCGCGGTAACATGCCATTAGCAGAATATCGTGGAGCCATCTGGTGGCACCGCTCGCAACCAAGGCGAGAAGAAGACATTCACTGTCAGCCACGGCGCGCGCGGTGTGCACACCGATATATATATCTTACACCGCGGACTAGAGCCGCCAAATGAACTACTCTTCGGAAGAAGGACAATTGTCCAAGTCGGTGCTTAAAGTCGTGGTTAATAGTTATCGCAAGCATCATCTCAAGCCGCAGTAAACAATTTGCTGTCCTTCAGAAATGTAAAAGCGGTCCGCGTAGGCCAAATCGATACCGCCGAAACTTCCTGGCGCTCTATTTCAAGCTGAGGAAGTCTCATTATTAGACAATAACTTGTCACAATAGCGCCCGCTCAGCGCTTAGCACCAAAATAGCGACGCCAACAGGAGAATCCGGTAATATTCACAGGGCAGTGAGGCTTGGTTTGACAGGTGGTGCCATCCTATAGAAAAATTTGTAAACTCTGAGACGGCCCACGACCGGAATCGTTGGACCCGATCTCGAGCTCTAATGGTCGATCTCCTCTCCGAGCTGTGACGCAGTGCTCGTGGCCAATCGCTTGGTGGCTATATCTTCATAAAGTTTCTCCCTTTGGCCACCAGCTGCGCGGAGTAGCAGTCGACCGAGGCGCCTCCTTTTCACTGCCATGGAGTAGTGGAGTGCCGATACCCTAAGCTTAGCTTATTAAAGCATGAAATGGTTTTAAACGGTAACCTCCAATCCCAAACTTTCGTCCGTCCGCCCGTTCGCCCCTCCGTCCATCCGTGCACTTCCCGCTAAATTCAGCGGGTAAATTGACATCACGCGAGCCATACGAATTCAGTTTCTCCGCTAAATTTAACGGGAACATTGATGCCACTTAACCTGATGCCGCGAGACCCACAGACCAATTCAGTTTCCCCGTTAAGTTTAGCGAGAAAATTGACGTCACATGGCCTATAGAGCAATTCAGTTCCTCCGCTTTATCTGGTGGGGAAATGATATCACGTGACCTGACATGAAAATATAATTTTACACCATTCAATTCTCCGGTAAATTTCAAGAGAAATATTTATTACACATAATGTGACGACGTGGCCAATACACCAATATAGTTTCCCGCTAATTTACCAGGGAATTTAACATCACGTGACCTATCTACCAATAATCTTTCCCGTACACTTTGGCGGGAAATAATTAAAATATGGGTTCAGCTTCACCCCTTGAAACGCCTGGTTAATGTTTTCTAAATAATTTAAAACCGTCGCCTTCTATACATGATCGGACTTAAACAATAAAGGTCGCTGTCGATATTTGGTTGCTCCACTCGCCCATTGCAGAGAAGATCAATGTTCCCAAAGTAAGACATTCATCAGCATACGCTTGACGAAATGTGTCCAGTCAATCGACCTTGTTTGGTAGGCTGATATCAGCGGTGAATGTAGCGAATGTTCAGCCACATTGGCGGGAGCAGGATATAAGCACAAGAAACACACAAAAAGCGTATACGCCCCAGAGCTCTAACATAGCCTCCTCTACAATCACAATGTTTGGCATTTCGACGACTGAGCAATAGAGTACCCGGACGCAGATTTGGAGCGCGAGGATCGGGGAGCACAGATCATCAAAGAGCCATTTCTCGGGGAACCTGAACGTCAGCGCTCAGCTTGTGCAGCGGCGAGGAACCGAAGACACACTTGTTCGCTCGGGAGAAGTGTGTTTCGGCGACTCGCCGCAGCAGGGCGCCAGTCACGTGGCTCTCCTCGCACCCGTTGTCTGCCGCTCTACCTTTTTCATTTCGGCGACCGCTTCTCGTGGCGATCTGCCACGCTGTGTTAGTATAGTATAGGAGGCTATGGCTTTGAACATTGGTGAAATACAGCCGGCCGGAAGATAGTGGTAATAGACGCGCGAATATTCGCTAGGTTTTTGTACCTCAAGTAGATCCGTAATCCAGTCCGCAGAAGAAGAATTCTGGCGCACTCTGTCCGCTATGGTTCTCCTGAGCACAGCATCAGAGCCTAGGCCTTAAGCGCTAGGTCTCGCTTTGGGCAACATCCACCTAAGATAATTAAAGCCCGTGTACTAGCGTTCCGAAGGCAACACAGTGAGATCGTGCTCAGGCACTAATCAGCAGCCAGCACTCGGCTGGGCACCGCGTCCAATCAATGCGTCGAAGGACAGTCGGCGTCGGGCTCAGACCCAAGTGCCGAGTTGGCGCCTTGCGTGTGTAGTGGCGCTACGTGGATAGAGGAGCTTCTTCACGGGTTCTGATTATTATTGCTGGTGTGGGCTTGGCTGAATCACAAGCCTCAAATAGAGGGAGAGGGGGAGGCAGATGTAAGACGTAATCGCTTGAAGAGAAGGATAGGCTTTTCATAAAAACGATTGGCAGCGACCTTTTCTTCGAAGTCCTATAATGCATGAAAAGCACCATAGAGCTTTAAATTTTCAATTTTACTGCTAAATTTAACGGGGAAACAGAATTGGAATATAGGTCATATGACGACAATTTTTCTGCTAGCTTTAGCGATGAAACTGAATTGGTTTGTAGGTCCCGTGACGTCACGTCACGTGTCATCAAATTTCCCGCAAATTTAGCGGGAAAACTGAATTCGTGCATAGTTTACGTGAAATCGATTTCTCCGCTAAACCCGGCAGGAAATGCACAACGGACAAAACAAATTTGCTTGTTGGGGGTGGGGGGGTAGCGTTAAAAAATGAATGCTTTAAAACACAATAGGACTAAACTCCCGTCATACTGATTTTAAAGGGACGCTTCAACGATATTTAAAATATACCCGTCGTGTTCAGAAATTGGCTCAATATGATCCCCAATACCCGTAAATGACAGTTGCATGTCTTTATTTTGAGCATGATGGCTGCATTTTTACTTATAAACCTTCCTCTCTGGCAAGCGCTCTTGAGCAGCCAGCGGATAGCACGTGGGATCCGGTGCAAACGTGATGTAACTTGCCTCGGTACGAGCAAAGCTGTGGCGCGAAGCTGATGTCGACAAAACGATTGCAAGCAGGGCATTTGGGCGGCGGAATGTCTCTGCTCGTGCGGGCAAGTGCGAGCAACTGCAAGCTCGAAAAAGGTAAGCTTACACACACTGCACATTCTTGTACGCATGGGGCACCAGTGAGGCTCCAGTTCTAGGCGAGACACGCATCGTCACTAGATGTCAATGCTCCCAGGCGGACATTAGAAACCAGGGTTTAGCGACATCTACCAAGTGCCATTTGCTAATCGTGTGTTTCGTTTTCAGATTACTTTTCGTGTTCTTTTCAACAATAGATTAAGGCGTCCGATGTGGTACTACTCCCTGGGACACGTATAAACCAGGAAATGAGTGCCCAAAATTTTGTTGTTGTAGTATTCCTTTAACGCAATAGCTTTACGGGCGACACATTGGAGATATTTTGAGCTCGTGGGCTGTCACTGCCACCGTCACCGCTATGGAAAGCCCTTCTCGCCCCTCTTGGCGCGAGGAGAGGAAAGTCGGAAGTTCTCGTCCGCTGTGCCCCGCAAAGAGAGCGAAGAGGGCAGTCCTGGCGTGCCGAGAAGAATGGCGCGACGAAGGGAGAATCTTCGTGCCGTCTGCTTCAAAATGTTGTTTCCGAACGTTCCTCTCCTATATACGAAATCTCACTTTGTTGGCAGTATCCAGTTGCTATGGGTAATGTTGAACGGTTATAGACACTACAACCGCGATTACCCTCTTATTCCACAGATAACTTGTGGTAGTCGTCACTGCCATCCACGACGCCAACCACGACGGCCATGAGAATAAACCACGCCGCGCCTCCGTCCTCAGTTACGTGACAGCGCCATTCCACCCGCATTGCGTGGCCGTGCTATTTTAACAAGCAACGAAGAGCAACACGTATGAGGAAGTTGTTTTCGCTACAACAAAATGTTGTCTTAAATTTGTATGCTGCTCCTCAACGCCATTCCCTTCCTGAAACCTAAACCATTACGCAGCCGGCACTCCAAAACATGACGGTACATGTAAAAAGCACCCAGTGGGTCTATATTCTATGAAGTGTTAATGGTACCAGGATGCTGAAGGTCAGAGCGCGCACTAACACACACGTCATGCACTCTAAGAAAAAAATGATGAAAAAAGTAGCAACCGGCTCATCTTCCTCCCTTTTACTGACGTGCCCCCAAGCGGTCACGAGAAACAGGGAGGAATGAAAACTTTTTCTCCTTCTCCTGGCAGACTAAAGAAAGCTTTCGCCCTCCCGACTCATCTTCTTTCGGTTTCGTTTTTCGAGCACGTCGAAAAACGATAAATGTTGTTGAGTTGATTGAGTTTCAGCGGCAGCGAAGGCCGCCTGTAATTCCGTCTTCTAGTCCAAATGTGCAGAAGATTTTGGTTGCATTGACATTTTTATCACTAATTTTATCAAACGAGCAAACGAAGCCGCTAGAAACAGCGAAGTTCCGGAGCAGTGCCGGCAGCGCTACGTACCCTATAGGTAAGATGGCCGTCTCCGGATGGCGGGACCCACGCCGAACTACAGTAGTGGAACCACGCGGAACTGCGTCGATGTTTTTGACGTTATGGAAATCGCAGGAACTGCGTCCAAGACAGGCAGGTTTTGCTACATGGGTGCCTTCCGTGCTGAGTGCGGTTCTGTTTTCCGATGCCGAGTACCAACCGGCGTTCAACGTGGTTCTGTATTTCTGCCTGTCAGCAACATAGCAGCAACATCGTGATGGCAGTGTTGTGGGTTGTGAACAGAAGACTGAAATTATCTTCGATGTGACCGTGTGTTCGCGTATCAGTGGTGTAACAACAAGATGAGATGACGTAAACTGTCGGGCATTGATGCCGCTGGTCGGGCCGTGCTCGGAGGGGGCGGGGTGTTCCAGGTTGTCATTTAGCTTTACATTAAAAAGTTTAAGACAACTTGAGGGATTAGGCACGTGCAATCGATCGACTTCCGGAAAGCCATGTTGGAACGCTGGCCTGAGCAGTAGCTACAGTGGCCAATGTGACTGTCAGTTGTCTCCTCACCGATAGCGATTGCGCTCTAGGGAAAGGACTGAACAATACAAAATTATGACGGAAAGTAGGTATATTTACAGTGTGGAATTTTAGCATTCAAAAAACAAATAGTAGGTAAAATCGAAAAAACAAAGCTATCCTTTATTTTGCTGTTTAAATATACCACTGTTCCTTGAGAAACTGCCCGTTAAGTGGCGCGCTGGGATGAGGGCTTGAAGTATTCGAGCTCGCCACGGCGTAGCTCCGTACACTTTACACCTGCCGCTAGTCGCGGCTTTGACTGCATTCAAGTTGATCGAAAAGCGGTTTTTCTGCCCGTGAAGCATCACTTCCAGCTGTGTGAATATCCTTTCTACAGGGATTAATTCAAGACGGCAATAGCAGCCAAATAGAAAAACAAACGCTACAATAGAAATGCAGGCTACGACGTGCCGTACGGGGAAACAAACTAATGCCTTCGAGACCGCATTGGAGCGGCTTGATTTTTTGGCATTAAAATAATTACGGCGTGATCGAGCGTTTACTTCTTAATAAGATTCTTCCCCTGAGCCATTCAAAATTCTCTCAGAGGTATGACACTGCTGGAAAGAAATAAACATGCTGGGAATATTTTTTATAACTTAGGGAGTCACCGAGAAATGCCGTACGTTCAAAACGACCAGTATAAAAGACGGAAACAGATAGCTCGGGTGTAGTGTTCGGGGTGGTCTGCCGTTGTAGTTATGTTTGTATGTGCCATGTACGTGTATGCGCTCAATGTAAGTTCACCTGATGCCTCTAGTATGCGTAATGTGTCGAGGTGTGTGTATAGCAGATGTCGCAGAGGTTCCCGAAGATCTTGATGTGTAATGGGGGCCTGAAGAAATAAAAATATTTTTGTTGGGCATGAATTGGGCGGTACCTATAGGTACCGCCCAATAGGTAGGTAGCGCTATAGGTAGCGCCACCTAGCCTAGCTGCTTGCAATTACTCTGCTGGACCCTGCCATTTGGTGGCAAGCGATTTAACCTTCTTTCACGCGACGCGATCAACAGCGGCTTCGAGTTCGTTCTTTTGAGAGCGACTTTTGGTTTCACGGATTGGTTTTCCATTCCTCCGTGCTGTGCGGTTGACGAAGGAATTGGGACTCGAGGAACAGCAAAAGTAAGACGCAAAGGGCGCGAAGTAACTGGGTATCGGTTGTCTCCGTTTAACATCGCAGTGCTGTCGACGAGAAGACTGAGTAACTGCTTTCGAAACAGAAGTTTCTGTACCTTCGGGGTGAATCTGGCTTCGGAAATAAACACAGCCCGCGGAAAGCTCGTGTTACGCTTTTATTTGCTGCTCCTCTCGTACAGTACAAGAGACTTAGCGTCCTTGTTAAGCCTCACTGAGCTCGATTTCCTCGATCAGGGCCGCCATAATGAGATGCAGGCGACGGAGGAACTATTTGCTCCCCTGCTTCATGGACGAAAGTTTCTCCTTTTCTAAAGGAACATAGGTTACAAGACCGTTCCTCCCCTTAGGGAGGACTAGCGATACCCTTTTCTCTAAGAGTGTGGTAAAAAGTGTGAATTAATTCCATAAAATCATATTGTAACCGTCGAAGTCAGCGTCGCGAAGCGATTTTCAACCGAAGCTTGGGATTTTTGATGCTCTGGGAATATACAGTGGCTTTAGTGGGGCCAACTCACCTGTAAGATCTTGATCAAGGGCTCAGGATCCAGCTCCCACGTCAGGGTCAGCACATCAAACTAAATCGAAGATTCAAGCATATTAGTCTTTTTAAACTTAAGAAACGTGGCAAGCCCGAGTTTACTTAAAGAGCCACTGAAAATCAGAAATTTTTTTTAAAACAGCCTGGATGGGACACGCGTGTCAAATAAATGCATTTAACGCGCAAAAAAAAAATGTTAGAGCAATATTGACGGCGCGAAACGCAATTTAGTCGCTATCACTTCCTTTCGACATTTCATCCGCGTGGAGGAGAGCTGTGGCAATGAGAATCTGTAACCATCACGTTGAAGTGGAGAGACTGTATGACCATCTCGTTGAGGTGGAAAGAGTGTATGACCATTCCGTGAAGTCATGGACTTTGCGCGCAGAATTCAGACGCAACTAAAATAAACCCTGGGCCGTCAATATTTCTCTAAAAAACTTTTTTTTCGATTATCGTGCATTTCACGACACGCCTGTCCTAACCAAACACTTCATAAAAAATTTTTTTTCTTCTTTTTAGTAGGAGATTGCTATTCCATGGTGCCTGGGGTGCGTCTCCGACTGGTTTGTTAAGCGTCCTATTTCGCCCCACATCAGAAGTGGGGCAACAAATGACATCATTAAAGCCGGAGTGTCAAGCGAGGCTCGGAGATACTTGAATGCGATCGATGCATTCCCCTCCTCTTCGCTCCTTGTATGGACAACGTGACCCATAAACTATAAAGTCCTAATAAAGCATTGTGAAGCACTCCCAAATTTAGGTGCACCCTTCGGACGTCAAGACAGCGGTGACAACAGCGTTCACTTGACTTGTTCCGAAGAACTTTTAGAACCAACCACCAGGAACTCGACAATTCGTATACCATTACACAGCTGCTTCAGTGCGATATATCGTTGTAATTTCAGAGTGTCGCCAATGAATCAGCGGTGAACGACGTCAGTTCCACCCGACAAATTCTTTATTTCCTCGCGATTTATGTCTCAATTTGCTATGTGTCGAAAGCGCAGGTTGCTTATTGTCAGAGTGCGAGTTACCTGACGCAAGGGGAGCCAGATATGTGAAGTCTACATTCAAAGTTAATACTACACGAAGGTATATTGATAAAAAAAAACACATTTTAGTCTTATTTAATGCACGTTTGCCGTCGACGCTGATCGGTGATGCCCCTTCTGGTGCTTGTAGCATGTCGCATGAGTCCCTGACGCTACTCGCCTCCAAAGAGGTGTGGATCTCTGTTTTAGAGTTTCAAAACCCTAGGTCACAAAACCGGGTTTCTCCTAAATATTTAACCAATCGCATAACCAGTATTCCAATGACGCAAAAGTTAGCAATACCTTAAACACTCATTCTTTGTGTCTCTACATGTATCTCCAATGTCAAACTGGCCTAAAAAGCATTGTAGATAACTCTAGCCCACCTCTTTGATGGACCTGTGGCCGTGGTTCTTGATAAGGTCTCGGTACAGCCGGCTGGGTTCCTCTTCGCTCTTTTCTAGGTAGGCACGGGCATCCTAGAAAAACGGTGTTTCTGATACCAGTTCCTGAGGTGATCTCCGTCTACTTCTAACTCACCTGAATGCTTAGCTTTCCAAAGTCTGGTCGGAATTTTCGCAGGACACTGGAGAGTTCCTGTTGAAATGGTCAGTTCTAACTATAGAGAGTTTTGAATGCCGAGGTTCGTTCTAAAGTAGGCCAGAAAAATATATCCTTGAACGGGGAAATCTTAAATTTTCACCGAAATTTTATTTTAGTGGTGAATTTTACCCTTTGAAATTTCAAGTTGTAGCACTCTTTCTGTGAAAAACGAGACCAACAAACTTTCCAGTTACTATGGTCAACGGTAGACGACGATGTAGACGAACGAGTTAGCGAGGGTGGTGCTTGCGGCGACATTAACCGATGGGCGCAGCGAGCGCATGACGCGTTAGTCGAAAGTAGATGTTGCGGGCATCCGCTCGTTGCGCCTATGTTGAGATGGCACCACAAGCACAAACCTCACAAACTCGGTCCTCTGCATCCTCGTCCTCCATTAACCATGAATATTTGGTTTAATTTATCCCAGAATGGAGTTTAGTACTTAAAAATTTTCCAAGGAAGAATTTGTGATTTTCCGGCCGATTTTAGAGCAATCCTGAACAACAAAAACGCCCTATATATTCAACTAACAAAAACAGGCAGAAATCGCTTACCTTTAGCCTGGACGGAACTTCGGCGCTCTCTACTTGTTCGCACTTGGACAGAAGTGTAGCCACATCGGCGAACACTTCGGGCGTAAGGTCTGCAGAAGATGAAACAATTCCGTAAGGAAACTTTGTCATGGTTCACAACTGTCTGAAGCGCAGTGTTGCCAAAGCACCTAAGACTCTTTCCATACAAGTACTGCGTCATAAACTTTATATAGTAAAAATTTTGTTAAGAAACAACTCTTTATTAAAACTATTTGAAAGCACTGCTGAAATATTACAATGTAGGAAAATAGATGAGTTTTTGGCAACTATTGAGCAAACGGATACTCCAAACTATAAAATTGTTTTCATCTACGTTTTTCTTTACACGCTGCTGTACACAGCATATTCCAAGGCCGTGCATTTTTATACTGTTTCCTTTCAGACAAGTGGCATGTGAAATTATAACACTTTCTTTTGAGATAGCAATATTGGGCGTATTGAACCTCAGGGTGCCAATACAACGTAGTGGTTACGTAAACGTTCATATTTATCACTATAAGTAAACATTTTATTACAATAATTAGAATCAGGGGTTCGTAATTTCTCATTAGAGCAGGAAGTTGCAGTTCTTATACTTTAGAAAACGAAATATGAAAATAAAATTTCATTTATCAAGTAATTTGCTACATTCTCCGTCCGCCAGCTGAGGGCAATATGATCCATTAGAAAGTTTTGAATCATGAGCCAGGCTTTTACGAAAGTGGATTCCCTGGGGTTCCTGTCCAGTAACTTTATTGTAATTCAAAAATCTTTTCCGTCACACATTAGTCAATCGTTTCCTTGCTTTGTACAAGGTGGTTCCACAAAACTCAATTTCCCTTCCTGTACGCCTCGTTTCACCATGTTAATGAACAGCCTCCTCCACTTCCCCCATTCATTTGCATGCAGACACTTAATTATTGGCGTAGCTTTTGGTGTTGATGCAAAGCACGAGAATGGTAAACGACTCCGTCGACCACAAAACTCAGTCAGTATGTACGGGCCATATATAGATACCATAAACCCGTACTTCCTTCGTTTTTTTTTTTTTGTTTTTTTTTTCCAAGTTGTTTTGGCGGGATTTACTAGGGCGATCATCGGCACCAACAGGTTGACTTCTCGATAGACGGCTAGTCGAAAGCCCGAATAAAGACCGGTATGTATAAAAATGAGTGCCAGCCGATACTTTTTTCTTCTCGGCAATCCTGGCTGTCTGAGTCGATCACTACGCAAAACAACTCGGGCGGGCTTGAAAACATTGCCTCCGAGCATAAAATGACATGAAGGTAAAGTTCATCAACAAGGCAAGATTTTGAGCCGACAAGATTTTGAGCCGGAAATACGTCACGTGAAACCACGTTTTACATAAACGCGCAGCTCAGACGTCACGCTGCAGCGGTGGCGTTGCTGCCGGTACAGCGCATGCGCAGATGCATCGCTTCGCGAAAATCTGGTTTCTAAGCATACGTAGTGCCTCCAGCTGGAATGGGTAAACTTTGACTTGTTTGGGAACAGTGTGCTGGTCTATAGCCTAGCGGAACGTTGAGCACTAAAGGAGGTTTATGGTTCATCTGAGATGAGCAAATTTCTAAGAAGCATTGCGTTGTAAGGCTACTTAATTTCCTTACCTCCGTGAAAACTTCCGATGGTCAGCAGGACCATTAGATTGTAGAAGGAAGACAACATCGAGCAAATCAAAAGGTTCAGGATGACCTGTAAATAAGTTCCATAGTGCAATGGGTTCCCCAAGAGTTCTCCATTCTGCACGTACCTCGGGTGGGAGCACAAATGTCCGTGAAATGATGTCATACATCTCCTGCGCAGTATGTTCCTCCTTCAAAGGAATCTCGAAGTTCTTTATGGACTCCTGAGCGACCTTCATGTAATCCCCCTTTTTAAGCTGGGCCTGAGAGCACGAAAAAAAGCACTTTGATTAAGTCACTTAGGCAAAGTATACTTCGATAATTGTGATTCTTCACAGTCGAAAGTTCGCTCAAGAGTAACCGTTATCTTTTTTTTTTCTTTATGGAGGGCGCGCTTTTTGTAGTAAACGTTTCTTCCTCTAGGTGCGCTTTCTAGGGACCCATCTGCATTAGTCTAGCAGTCGATGTTCCTGTGAAATGCTGCGTTCGCCTTCAATAGATTGTTTTTGTAAACTCTTTAACAGTTTTTGTCCATTTTGGGATGGCTGGTTTATACAAACAACATACGGCAGTAAAATTGCTTTTTCCCGTTAAAAGAAAGGCACCGAAAACAATTTCTATACATTTGAAGGCTTGCAGGGAATCTTTTCTGAGTAAAATCGCAAACTTAAGTATGGTTTTCCCGTTTTAAAGAAGGCGAATTCTTACTTGACGACCAACTTAGTTTCGGGCGTTCTAAGATCATTCAAGAAGAAGAAAATATGGTAAGAATTTGTCAAGCCAGCTTCGAAACCATAGTCAAAAGATTCATAAACTTGTGGAGTTGATTGTAGTATTTCATTGTTTCCTTGATCAATATACGCTTGATTGCAACTTCGAGGAACACTAACTGGCGGTGTAGGGAAACTAATTTGGGCCGTTCATTCTATAGTGTTAAACCCAAATGTAGGTAGTCTCCAACAATATGAAAGACCGATTCGACGAGGCAATTAGTGGCTGCTTTACTGAACTCGCTTTGGCTAATCCTACATTGCTCAAGGAAAGAATATGAGCGCACCTTGGTTCTATTCTCATTCTAAACATTTAGTGTCTTTGGTCAAAGCGTGTTTAGCGCCACGGTATCTGATAAGCGACTCCGACTGGTGTGTTCAGCGCGCTATATCCCGCCCATACACCAAAACTAGTCCGGAAGTCGCACAAAATGACGTCACAGAAGCCAGAGTCTCGTGCTCTAGAATGCCGCGACCATGGCGGTTGGTCGTGAAAGTTCCGAAAAAAAAAAAAACACCAGCAATCACGAATGTCGCTGACGCTACGGGGTCCCAAGTACTGGCTATCGGAGCTCCTTCTATGAAGTGTCAAGCTGGAAAGCTACCTATTGCAGAAAAAGCATCTGCAACATCGACCACCACTGCTGTCACGCCACCAGGATCGCGGCCAGCGGCAGCATGACACTCGTATGACGTCATCAAGCGAGAATCGAGACACCCCAATTCCGGAACCGGTAAACACGCCAGTCGGAGATTCATTTTAAGCACCATAGCACCGCTGCATAAACCGCGTCCTCCAATCGATATCTTATATTGAGAGAGACTATACCTATATCCAATGCCGTACAGCACCATCCAGCCAAAATCTCCTAAATAACAAAGCCGTTGTGCAGAATAATCGGCGTCACCATAAGAACGCCAAAAACTTGAAGAGAGAAGCTGTGTCAACATTCTGCTCGAACGCGTGTTCTCACTGACTAAATACCAGTTTGAGTCGAACTTTACGCAGCACTGGTGTTCAATCGATGTCCTGCAAAGGCCTTGTTTGGGTAAGGCCGAAAATGCATTGCTTCGGATTTCTTTCCTAGGAGGTGTTGATCCAGTTTCGGAAATGGGGGAGGGGCAGATAATGTAGGTCAAACAAAGGTCAAAGACACTTCATTTCGGTGTTGCATTTATGCTTTCTACGTATACAACTAGAAGAAAGAAGGAGTGAACGGTTGCAGCGGTTACGCACCCAGACGAGAAAGATCACACGTCGTAGGGGATCCGTTCTCAGTGGGCGTCCGTGCCTCTCAAGGAATTTGGCGACAACGTCGTCGGATTCAAAACACCGTCCCAGCGTTCCAAAAAACAGCCCTTTGGTGAGAAGGTCCTTTTTCTCTGAATGCTGGAACATGCCCTGGAATGCGAACACCGAAAGTTTTCTGCAATCTCAAAACCGAGGGGTCAAACAAACGAAATAAAATTATTTCCGGTCGCTATACTTACGTCGATGAGGCTCATCATGTAATTCCTGCTGACGATGACGCTGGAAGGCCTGAAGTACACGGACTTGGGACAGAGCGTTGAGATCCTGGCTTTACGGACACGCTCCTGCGAAAACCAAGGGCCCGAGGCAAATTACTTCTCAAGAAACAGAACGGCTGCCGATGTGTACCCTGGAGGTTTCTTCGGGGGTCTAGAGTCATCAACAGGATCAGAACGGAAGAGCGTTTCTTTCGTGTGCTCGACCTTCAGCAAGCGTTCGTTAATTGCCTTCATTCGTGCTTTGGCTGCGCCTGCGCATTAGAGGATCAAGTGACGCCGAATTGTTATCCAAGGTAGAAAGTTCGCGCTAGCGGTGGGAAATGTGAAACTCCTCTCTGCTATTCTAGTTCTGTCGCTGATTGCGCATGTGCTCTTTGCTTGTCAATGGCTGCCGTTGTGGCTGCATATTGGTTATTTTTCTTCCGAGCGTGAAAGGATTCGCAAATCTGCACCTCATAGCCGACAACTACAGGGTGATTCAAGGAGAGGCCAGGCTCTTTAAATCAACCGGAAAATTCGGTTTCTTAACATATCGCTCTACCGCTTTGTGCAGCGTTGCCCACAGAGGATGTTTTGTTGTTTTTTTTTTTTTGTAAAATTTGCAAAGAGCGAACTTACCTCAGGAAAAAGTAAAGAAATAAAAAGGCTTAGCCCCTATGGAAACACAGCGACGCCACCGGCCTTCAAACAACACGGCGCCGTTTCGCACGGGAGACAAGAGATGGCGCAACGAACGCCGCCAACGAACAAGCATACGGCGCCGAGAGCCGGCGTCTTTAGCAGACGATCTTTTCGACTCAAAAGCGGCGCGCGTTCCGCAGGCGGCGACAGTTGCAGAAACAAAAACAGGCGCAGTAACAACAAGGAACTGCAGTTGCTTGTCAGCTGAAGACGCCGGCTCTTGGCGTCGTATGCTCGTTCGTTGGCGGCAGTTGGCGTCGCGACCGCTTGCGCCATCTCTTGTCTCCCGTGCGAAACGGCGCCGTATTGTTTGAAGAGCGATGGCTTCGCTGCGTTTCCATAAGAGCTAAGCCTTTTTCTTTCTTCACTTTTTCCTCAGGTAAGCTCGCTCTTCGCAAATTTTACAAGAAAAAAATGCACCATCTGTGGGCAACGCTGCAGAAAGTCGTAGCAAGATAGGATACGAAACCGAATTTTGCGGTCGATTTAAAGAGCATGGTCTCTCCTTGAATCACCCAGTATTGTCGCTTTCCCCACTTGTGTGGTCGCTTGTAACCTTGCTTTGGCCACAGCTTTCAAACAATACAGACGTGAATTTAGATGCATTTCGTGGCTCCGACATCTCCAGCCTTATTGAGTTAGGTATAAATCATATGAGCATTTTGCTCAGACTTGATTGAAGACCCTACAAATCATAGTAGCAACGTCGGGAAAGGTAACGGTGGGAAAAAAAGTAAGCACGTCCATCACAGATTCGTTGCATGTAATCTTTCACAGAAGTTGGCAGAGTTGTTATCTTTAGACATTTTGTTTCTCGACATGATTGTCAGCGGATTTGTTGGTTTTCATTTTTGTGGTTTTTGAACAGCTTACACGTGCAATGCCTCCTAAATAATTATCGCATCTAACATACCGGTTGAAAGAACAACGTGAAGCGCGGACCACTTACCCTCACCCCCCAAAAGACCATGTCTAGACAACAATCCTCCCTCGTCAAGCAAGCCCAGAACAACTCTCTTCCATCAGACCACAACTTCCACCACATTTAAAAAAGACCCGACTCCCCCACCTGTCCAAAATGCGAAGAATACCCCTCCATCCCTCACACCTCCTGGTCTTGTAACCCACCCACCCTTTCCCCAACCCTCGCACAGATAATTTTTTTTGAGGAATGGCTGGCTCCACCCACAGGCACCGACATACCCACCGCTCTAGAAACACTAATTAATCACTCCGGTCCCCCTGCGGAATCCATCCGCGAGACGTGGGCCAGACGGCCGTCGGACCAGGACCGTAGGCCCCTATACAAAATAACGTTTTGCTTGCTTGCTTACCGGAGCAAAATGGGCATTGTACTCAACCCCCTATAAGGCGATGAGCAATAGCTGTTTTAGAGGGCACCTCTTATGCGCCCATTTCCGGGTTGAGCGGCGTCGCCGTCTCCGTCGCCGTCGGCGTAACCGCACGTTGCATTATGAGACGTTTCCCATAATGATGTCACACTCCATGACGTCAGAATGACGTCAAATTTCCCGCTAATCTTGGCAGGAAATTTTTCCGCTAAATTTAGCGGGGAAATATAACGGGAAAATTTTACCCTCATGACGTCACAGGTGACGCCACTCAACTCGATCAAATATTTCCGCTAAATTTAGTGAAAACATTTCCCGCTAAATTTAGGGTGAAAATGTTGCCCTCATGACGCCACAGATGACGTCAAGTGTGACGTCAAGTAAACGAATGGGATGTCACGTGAAATTTAGCGGAAAAACTTTTTCCTCTGAATTTAACAGAAAAATGTCCCCCCTAAATTTACCGGGGAAATTAACGTCACGTGACCTCAACGCCTATTCAGTTTCCCCGCTAAATGGGAAAGGAGCACGAGACGAGGAGGGGGAGAAGGTGCATATCCTCCCCTCCGTACCCTCCCCTCCTCTTCCTCAAGTGCTGCGCTTTGATTCGGCGTTACAGAGAATTGTAAACGCCCTTCAATTTTGTGTTTGTTTTTAAAATATTTTACCTGTTTTTTGTTGCAAACAAAATAAAAGAATGGCTAAGCATAGTGTAACACCTAAGGCTGTGGTGGGGGAAATTAAGAAACATTTAAGTCAAATTCTCAGCTCTTGGTTATGTCTCAGGTCTTATATTATGAATAATTACCAAGATCTCGCTCGCACACTCACTGTTATTAAGATAATAGTGCTTGAAATGTTAAATTATCCCACTTCCAATCAAGACGATTTTCATTTATTTTTTATAAGAAAATGTTTTAGATTAATTTTAGGCGTCTCGGGCCTACTGTTCAAAGTTCCAAACCTTCATTTCTGTGCGCAAAAACCTAGTACAAAATTTGCAAACTCCCACCTCGTAAAATATTTACTTGTTTAAGGAGGTACTGCAGGTCTCATTCGATTTATTAATAAACTTTCAGGAGACTCAGTTCTCTCTTTAAAGTAGTCATCAGTACAAAAGTTATCTAATAGGCATTTTAATGTTTATGATAATAATAAAATTAAGCAGAAGAAGAAAAGAAGAAGAAGAAGAAGAAGAGGAGGGCGAAGCAGACGAAAAAAGAAGAAATTATAATATTAATAGGGAAAAACATATTTAAAAACGTATAATAAAGGCAAACCGAAAACCAGCATTACTAAGAATATAAAAAAAAATTATATTCAACGTATATTAAATATACAAACAATTGACACACGAGATATAATACTTATACAAAGCGATTACAAAAAAATAAACTTAAAAAAATACCAGACGACAAAGCATGCAACAATAAAAATGCGGAAACACTGCGCGGCCGGCGGGAACCGCTTTACGAGGAGAAATGCGCAGTGGAGTTGTTTTCAGTAAGCCTCTGCATGCGCATGCGAACACCCTATCCCCTGATCCTTGCTTCCCGCCGCCGCCGTATTTGGAAGGCAGCGTCCCCCACAAACAAATTGAGGGACTTTAGAAAGGGGTAAAGCCACTGGTCATGCAAGCAGCATAAAATATGCCAGTGCTCGAAGCCCGTGGCTCGTGCGGATCTTGAAAGCAAGTGACGGCGGAGAGCTGAAATCAGGGCATTTGCAAGCAAATGGCGACATAGGACAGGCTCATTTCTTGCATTTTCCCGCAAAAACAAAATGGTTAGCAGTACATGTGACAAACGGCAAGCGTGAATTTTACCATTGGGTTTTAGCAGAAAAAAAGAACAATTCATCCGTGCCACCAATTGAGGAACACCTACCATGAAAACAATGTTGAAGGAATGCAAGAAGAGCTCCAACCCCAAAGCGCTTATGGCCCCTGGGAGCACCTCCCTGCATGTAGTAAACACAATAGCTCAGGCACGCGGAGTCGACAAACGTTTTAACGGAAGGTGGTCAACTCACCCTACGTTTGCCCTGGTGTAAAACTCATCCTCCGAAGACAATCCGTTGTCCAGGTTGTGCTCCACTTCGAAGTCTGTCTGACGATGGAGCGATGTGATTGGACGTGCCTGCAAGCGGACCCGAATCATAGCTAAATGCTAGTTCACACATTTGTGTTTGACTGCGACTGAGTGCGTTGTGATCTCTTTCAACTCAATTCAATTAGTTTTATGATCACTGAGGTGAAAATATCTGTTTTGATAAAACGGATGTATTCATAGCCAGTTAGATAGTTTGGGCCCATACAAATGAGGCATTTGGGTTGTAAAATGAGCAAGACATGTGAGCAACAAACCAGAAAAAATACAAGAAAACAGAAATATGCAAGATATATAATAATAACATCTCTAAAACTTTCACTCACCCAAGAGGATGGTTATGAGGGTGAATGTGATATAAGAAAGCAAATGGTTGTACTTTAGTGCTTGGCTAAACTTATGCTAACTTCGAAGAAAACTAAACACGGAGTTACGTATTTTTGTACCACTGAATCATATTAGTATTTTTCCTCGTGTGTTATAATATGGTGGCCAATTAAAATTCCCTGGTAAATTTATTCTATAAGGACGGGCATCTTTTATGAGCATTGTTATTGAAAATGCGTTGTTAACAATCACTAATCTATTAAACATAGTAACAATTTTGTGTTTCTTTATTTCCCGGAACTAAAGATGCAAAGTTTATTAAATCAAAAGGAAGCGCCTAACGCTAGGGAGCTTATATTTAAGAAAGGGAGCAACTCAAAACATGGGGAAAGTTTTCAGTTTAATGGCGCTCGCTGGAAAGTGCTCATGGGTTGGGCAGTCACGGGGCGAGGAGGAAGTGGATGGAGAGGCAGAGCTGTCGATCAACGCTTCTGACTCCTCGCAGCCTACCCAGAATGAGAAGCCGGAAACACTCTGTAATCTACGCACACTACCTCACACTGGAACAGGGTCATCACCTACGGGTAGGCTGCGGGAACACATCGCGGCAACGTTCGCCATTCATCTCTACTCATTCGCGGGCGGGCTCCTTGGTTGGCATTTTCTATTGCCCCCTGACCCATTGCGACCATTGGCGATTTTGTTCTCTTTAAAGAAGCACTAACAAGTTACTATTTGTGATCTGTGCCGGACTAACCATTTTCAGCGTATTTGTACTTCCGCCGCCCACCCAATGTTTCGACCCTGAGGGTAAAATAAATAAATAAATAAATAAATAAATTGAAAGTTCCCCTAAACCACTGGTGAGTTCTGTATTATATAATCTTTTCTTCTGAAAACTTGCCATCCTGTCTGGATTGCTAGCGCTATCTATGACTGCAGTTCGGCAATGTGTAGTTTAGTGTTTGCTTCAAGGAAAAACACGGTTATCTTATCAGAGCCCGATATAGTAATCGCCGTCACCCCTCCACATTGACTGCGATGATTAATGGTGCCATACCTGAAGCAAGTAGAGCTCTCCTTCCACGATGGCCCACTCCAAATCGAGATCTGGTGTCCCTGGGTGTAACCGCTCGACCTGATCTCGTTTGAAATACGAAGACGTCAGAGAAAAGCACTCTGTTTTTTTAAACTCTGCTTTACCTCCAAGGCAGCCCTGCCCAAGGCAAGAGCTTCTTCGTCAGAGAGACAGCACTCATCCGTGTTTTTGGCTTGCTGGACCTCTGTACCATGCGCTGCGAGAGATATATCATACCCTCCTCGATTATTTTTTGTTGGTGGGCTTCCGTTTAGAAAAATATAGGATGACTATGAGCACAATACGTTCTAAGACAAGCCGGAAAAATCGGCGCCTGCACATAGATAGCTCAGACTTTTACGAAATCCGCATTCATGTAGTCTAAGCGTAGTTCTCTTCTTGGAAATAATAAAACCAAAAGCTTGCCAAAGTCACCGGCTGACGTGTTTGTAGGCGACTAAGTTAGCGAATAATGTAACTCGTGGTGGCATCTTCCGGTATAGACGCAGCAGGCAGACAACAAAGTGTGTCTATGCCCGCATCGCCTTTCGATAGATAAAACCACAAGTTACATTCATCGCAAAGCCGGTGGTCTGCCAACCCTTACGCGTTAATTATTGTGTTTCTTTGTTTCGTTGTTTAAAGTACGAAAGCTACGCCTTGAAATTTCCCAAAGTAAAATCCACCACACCAACACACATTCGGTGAAATTTGGGGCTTTTTTATGTGCAGGCTCCAATTTTCCTGCCTCGTTTCAAAGCGAAGGTCCACTTTAGCCACCCTATATTGCGTACAGGATAAACGTACCTGCAGCTCGAACTTGCATCTGTTTTTTTCCTAGGTGCTTCTCGAGAAGTGTAAGCTGACCATCCTCTGAACGCCCCAGGGTCACTGTGTCTGGTTCGGCAAGCGATGACACGACGGACTGCAAGAGCATCGCAGATGTTACACGATGTCCCTAAACCAGGCTCTGAAGATGCCCCTTCAAACTCCATACTCCGTATCACTTGAAGTCCATCCGCAGCCATCACTATAGGATTCAAAATAGCCAATAAAGCAACGCTAAAACTTCATCATCACTGCGTTTGTTTTATTTGTAGGTTCATTATCACAGGCTAAGCAATCAAGTACAGAAACCAAAAAGGCGGGATCGCAGCGCCTTAACTCTACATTTTTTCCGGTGACACATAGCCTCCTCTATACTCACAAAGCCTGGCAGTTTGACGACGGAGCAATAGAGTGCCCGGTCGCAGATTTGGAGCTCGAGGATCTGGTGGCGCAGAGCATCAAAGAGCCATTTCTCGGGGAATCTGGACGTCAGCGCACAGCTTTTGCAGCGGCGGGGAGCCGAAACGCATTTGCTCGCTCGGGAGAAGTGTGTTGCGGCGTCTCGCCCCAGCGGGACGCTAGTCACGTGGCTCTCCTTTCATCCGTTGCCTGCCGCTCCCCCTTTTTCATATCGGACGCCACTTCTCGTGACGATCCGCCAGGCTTTGTGAGTATAGAGGAGGCTATGGGTGGCAGCAATCACAGAAAGGTGACAGCGGTGGCGATGCTTTCTTTATGCTGTTTGATTGGCTGCATACCGTTTCGTAGCATTGACGGTGGTCGGAGTTCAAGTTAAACGGAATACAGTTCAAATTCATCAAGAGCGAGATGGCTGCGAGCCCGTAGTACCTCTCCAAGCCCGTAGTTTGCGTTGATGACCAGGCGACTGGGGTCTCCACTGACCGGGTCGCATGTGAAGAGGACTCCGGCGACGTCCGCCTGAGCCATCTCTTGGATGAGAACCGCCATGGGTGCCTCCAGTTCCTGCCCGTGTTGCCTGTCAGGACACAAGGTTCGTGGTTGTAAGATTAGGCTACTTGATATTCACAGAGCACACTTGAGAAATCTGGAGCGTCCGTCTAGTGTAGCACTTGGAAAAGCCAATCGCCACGTTCTACGGACAGAGCTCCTAAAACGACGAGGACGAAAATATGTTTAGCTCTTAAAACGCAGTCTGTAATTTGACATTGAGCATGAAGAAACGCCATGATCGGTGTATCAAAGCAGCCAGTTTGTTTAGGTCTAGATACATTTTCAGCTTTTCGTCTTTCGTCGAGTTTAATCCTTGCTTACAGCCACTGACTCCCTCGAGTGTTTTTTTCAAAAAAGTAGATTCTTCCCGTTTATTAGAGAGAACACAGAAACCATTGGCAACTCTGACAAGATTGATTATCGCAATTCTTGGCTATCTAGAAAGCGGCCGCTCAGCGCGGCGCGGCCACTTTACGAGAGCGCGCGCTCAACCGTCGGCCGGCGAAACGTGGCCCTCCGCGCCACTGCGCAGCAGACGAACTAAGGAAGCGGAAGAACGACATTCATGCTTTCGCCTTCACAACTCATAAGAAGTGCCTATGTGTCCTCGGAATTCTTCATTTCAGTTGTTTCTTTTTACATTTATAGAAGACAGTTCCATTCATTAATTGTTAATCGGGGGAAAAATATTTCTTGAGGACCTTATGCTTAAGTTTGAATTCCTTTAATGCAAGTGTAGGATTTAATTTGGACGATCCGGTTGTTGAAAGGTGTATAAATATTTCTCAGTTAACGTTAAAATTTTTTTTAGGAAAGAATATAGATGTTTGGAGTCTACCTCGCTCATGTCTCTAGCGGCTTAACGTGGTTCTCAAATGGGGGTCCACGGACCCTTTGGGGCTTGCGAAGGCATTCTAGGAGTCCGCGTTGCCCTGCCTCACCAATCAAGTCGGGCAATAAAAGTTGTTTTTTAAGATTGAGTGGTGAGTTCTTTCGTGGGCATGTCAATGAGAGAAGTATACTTCACATTAGCCGTTAGTCATATGAAGTTATTGGATGAATATTATAATTAACCTATATCTTTCCCTTCTCACCAGAAACGGGGTCCTCCATCACATACGCCGATCCACGAGGGGTCTGCGAAATATCAATGGTTGAGAACCACTGGGCTACAGATTACCTTCTAAAATTAAACATGATGCAGATTTTTTAATGAACTCAGGCAATTCATTTGAGTGACCTAAGCAGAACATATGTTCAGAATACCTAGGCTTTACTTTTCTCGATATGCTAATTATTATTTCTAAATACAAAATAAATATTGATACAACGGCGCAGGAAGGTTATGCCAAACCAAACAGTCAAATTTGCCCGCAGTTTCGAACTCATATACGACCAATATCGTATAGCTTGCAAGTGATGCGGGCAGTCTAAAAACACAGTATTTGCGCATTAATTTTTGTTTTGCTGGCACGAGCTTTTGCAGCATTCATTTCACAACATCAAAGTTCTTCTAACTCGTCGGGAAGAAGGCTTCACTGCCCGTGCATTACAACATCTGACATTAGGCTTTCAGCGCTGCCGGCAAAGCCTTTCAGACCAACATTAAAAATGCAATCTCCCCCCCCCCCTCCCCCCCACGAAAAAAAAAATTACTGCGACTTTTAATATGGGTTACCAGTTCAAATGACTCTAGTAATGTGCGTGTTAACTCAATTTTGAGACAAATCAGAGAGTATAAACATTTCGCCGGAACTGCGATGTAGGAAATAAAATTACATAATTGGATTAATATAAAGATATCGAATTACGTCATTTGTATTCTGCACAATATGCACATTAATATGCAAGTGGATTTGCGAATAAAACATGCACTCACCACTTGTATTCAAGAGCAGGGTGACGGAACTGCGACGCCCAGCACTTTACCGCGCAGAGCGACGCCTGCCCAACGGGAAAGAAATTTCCGCTACAAAACGAGCGGTCGGTCGACAGAGCGACGGGCGAACCAAGAAGCCGGCTGCTCACCTCTTGAAGTCCTCTCACGTTAAGGAAGGTCTCCATCTGACCAGCACAGGACATCTCTTCGGAGTCCTCCCCTTGGTACAAAAAAAAACAACATAAAACGCAAGGATAAGTATTTGGTGGTGGCCTCTACTTTCCAAGTACTATAATGCATTAAATACATTATACGGAATTGGTGGGTGAATTGGTGTGTCACGTGAGGTATATTCCCCGCTAAATTTAGCGGGGAGACTGAGCTGACGTATGGGTCACGTGCCGTCAATTTTACGGAGGTGTATAGGTCACGTGACGTCATATGTCGTCCCTTTCCCCGCTAAATTTAGCGGAAGATTCATGAACGGTCGGACAAAAGTTTTGAAAGGGGGTGGCACTAAAAAGCATTTCATACTTTAGTAATTGCAACAAAGCAGTGATTCGGACCAGTTGGTTCATAACCATAATTTTATAAATTCAGTACACCTCGCCTAAAGTTAGTTTCATTTTCGATGCAAACACATTTATGTCGTACGTATACACCTAGCTCTCACACACCCTACCTGATGTTGGCGTCTGTGACCTTCTTTCGGTGTTAATTATTTTCTCCGGTCGTTGTTTCTTTTTGTAGTCACTGCCACCAGCTTGAGAAGCGCAGGGTGTAGCACGCTATGCTTCACGTTTCTCGCTTCGTGATTGACTCTTGGGCGTTCTTATCGCTGAATGCACGTAATCTCATTGGTTGGGGGGCGATAATAAGATGCTCGCCACTCATCACGTCGTCTGTTCCTTAAGTTTTCTGTGACTAACCGGCGTAATTTTGCCTTTTTTTTTATTGCATCAAATTGCGCCTTCAACTGTTGGCGTTACCGGTCGAAACAGAAGAAAACGTGTGACGGGGTGTCACACGTCTTGGGTGGAATAAAAAAAATATTAAAGCTTACCCAAATGACTATTATGCTAACTAAAATTTCTAGAAAGAAAATATTACGATTACGATTGCCATTCAGAAGTCGCCACTACTACGTTTATCTTACTGCCCCAGCAGAAAGGAATGACAGAGGAAAAATATACTAAAATATACAATCAAACACTGGCCGAATTGCTCTTACTTCCCAACGCCTCCTACGCAACACTATGCCTGGCCTAAGTGTCGCCTTCTTGTGCTTTTTGCTACAAAAAATAAACAACCATAACATATTACATAACTGTTTAAACCAGGTAAGGTGATCTCCAATAACTTACCCACTGCTGAAGAGCGCACGGCATAAGAACGATGAACGAAATTATCGCCAATAGATCTTCGCAGCTGAGCTTCCAGGTCGGCCACTAAATTCACTGGCGTTTTCGCGCGCTCAACGGCTTCGCACAACCTATAAGAAATATACGTCGAGAAAAATATTTGGAATAAGGGAACAAGTCATTAATAAAAGCATTTCATTTGCCAACGGGACATTTACTTTTATATTAGTAACGCAAGCAGGACTGAAGAATCGTCAACGTACCTTGACGCAAGAGCCTTCCGTTGATCTCCGTTCAACCTGTCCGTGTGCCAAAACACAAACCAAAAATCAACAAGCGTCATGGTGAGATGATGTAACAGACCCTGACATCAAATTAAATTTGTAGTAGTCTCCTACTTTTGGAAAGGAAAGAAAATTTATCGAATAAAATAGGCTATAGCTCGGAAAACACATTCGAAAAGAAAAGCGAGAAAAGAAAGCTAGGTAGTAAAAAGTGTTACAAGATATTTAGTGCTTTCTTCTACACCGCCTTACCAATGTTCGCTTTTACACTATCGCTATTGTCTAAAGCAGGATATCGAACTCATTTGAATGTGGGGGCCAGCTAGCCCACCCCAAAATGACGAACGCTGACATAGATATAGTGGACGAGGGGGGTGGGAAGTGAATATATATTGGGAAAAAAATATGTTCTAGAGCAACCGAACCTTCCAGCGACACCCCGAGATTTTCTAAAAATAAAACCTGGCGCTGTTTTTTTTTTTTTTGTTTTTTTTTTGTAAAATAGTTGTTTTTTTAGTGCTCTCTTTAGTTTTGCTTTATTCCTACAACTACTTCGGATTTATACCTAGTGTGATTACAAGACTTAAAATACCATAATTCAGTCAATGCGTTGTAATTTTTTTCAATACAGTAAGAGCCCAAGCACGCAATCGTTACTAAGTCACTCAATTCACTCGGAAAACATTCAAGTTCAATACGCCTCAAACTTTTCACACTATATATATAGTGTTTGGTTTTATGTAACGATTTTTATAGCAGAATCACGAGAAAAAACGTATGTAGAACAAAACAATTCTTGATCTAAAAAAAACAGATTAGTGGCAAATATATTAAAACATCATAACAGCAAAGCTACCTTTCCATTGGAAATGAACGGACGACAAGAGGTCAATATTTATGGCGCATGCAGCACTCACGACATATCAACGGCACCTTGTAGCCACGGGACACTTGCGGGTCGCGTCCTAGAGTGCCCTGGGTCGAGTGTTTGAGACACCTTGTCTCAAGGTTTCTTTAAAAACGAGTATTTTATTTTTTGAGTAAAGATTTTTAGGGGCGAAGCTCCTTGGTGTCTAGCCTTGTCAGTCCGGCGTCCGTGCTCACATCGATTGCCATTCCATCTGTCTTCTTAAAAAAAAAAAATGTTTGCGCAGTCGACAGGATTCGAACCTGTGCTGGGGGACCCCAATAGATTTCTAGCCCATCGCCTTAACCACTCGGCCACGACTGCGGGACGAGTAGGGGGCTCTGAGATGTGGTTGTAACTCAAGAGCTGGGGTTACTACCCCATCACGAGCTAGAGCTGGGGCAGTAATATTGAAGTCGAAACGCAACCCGGAACTCAGCACTACCTGTAAGCAATAACAAAAAATCAGCCCCACCAGCACTACCTATGAACAATAAAATCAGTATCAGCAGCACCACCAGAGCTCCGCCCCAATCAACAGCATTCACCACGTGGAGATGTAGTGATTTTTTTGTGGCCTCGAAATTTTCGGCTTTGTATTTCAAAGGACCAAGCATGGAGCTGAATGAAGAGACGGGATGATATTTGTCTATGATCAACTCGATACTTCGTAATGACACTTAAGTAGGTGGACGCCGTGCAGTCAAGAAGATTATGCCAAATGTGGCTGTGTATTTCACAGGCTGCTTATAAAAGATAGCATTTTTTTATAATTTAGACGAAGTAACGGTTCATAATAGATAATATTGCAAACGCAAGTAGGAAAGACGTCTCACTTGGGGTAAGTAGCCAGTTCTGCAAGACACTCGTCAAGTTTGTTGTGCGCCCGGAAGTCCGCATAGGCACGGGTAGTTAGCACCACAGCGCCGGGAACATTGAACTGTGAAAACAACAGTGCATATGTCTCAGCAACAATGCGCGAATAAACTCATCTTTAAAACAAATATTTCCCCTAGTATTTGCAGTAAGAGCGGCATAGCTTCCATCGCTCAAAAAAAAATTGTCCCAAAAAATAGGCCATTCCCTAGACCGTGAATTGGCCTCGGGGTACAAGCGCTAATCCTGTCTCTAACTCATGATTGTGCTTATAACGTCTTTCCGGCATATCTAGCGGATATTCTGGCAGCTCAGTTTATGACCCGCTTCGCACCGTTAGTTATATTGGAACCGCCCGGTTACCCAAATATTTATGTTTTTCCGGCTACTCGCACCTAAATTGGTCACTGCAGCAGCAGCTAGACTGTTTTTCCGGGACAGGGTTGTGGACGGAGGGTCAAAACTTAACGACAAAGTTCCATCAGTAGCTTCACAAATATCACAAAAGCTGCCACAGACGGACAATCTTGCGGCAGCATGAAGTCCGGGGACCACAGTAAGCAATGAAAATAAGACGCAAAGATAGTCTATGCCAGTCATGTCCTTCGGTGCGCCAGTGATTATGAAAGTGTTTAAGTATGTATCTGAATTTTTACTTGCAAATTTGAGGTGTTGTAAGGATTTTCCTGTTTGTAACATCTCAAACACAAGTTACTTTCGTTTCCACTAAAACATCAAGCGTGCAAAGCTCTTGGAGTGCTTCAAATTTACAGGTCTATCTTTATGATACTCTACCTTTAGTGTGGTTAGAGTATCTTTAGCTTGTTCTTCTGATATAGGGTACGCGAATTCTCGAGGCTGAGCGGGGCTGGGTGCATGCTTCTAGCTGGTGATATCGGTAATATCGTGCTTCACGACAGGCAGCGCTGTAGATAAAGCTGTTTGTGTACACGTTCCTTTCTAGATCATCACAAACAATTTGTTCTTCCCGTTTTTTTTTCGCTTTAAACGAGCAGATTGTCTTCGCCTTAGACAACAGTGCCCTGATCATCAATTCTTTGTGACAGGCTGGGTGTTTGGAATCAAACTAGAGATGCCGTCCAGTATACGTGGGTTTCCTGTACACCGAAACTGTAACTCTTTGTGTTCTCTTCTCACGAGCACGTCAAGGAAAAGTAAGGTATCGTCCTATTCACGTTCCACGGTGGACTGGATCGCCCTTTCGACGAAGTTGAAGTTCGAGAAGAATCTGTCCTTTTTAGATTTTTGAAGGATGCAAAAGCTGTCATCAGATACAGCAAAAACACTTTGGGTGCGGCGGCGAATGACTGCTGGGCCGCTCCCTCAACGACTTTTATGCACAGGTTGATCGTGGTGACGGAGACGTATTCACAAATTACGGTTTTATTTACATGCTTAAAGAAATCGCCCTTGACGCTAAAGTAGACGCTGCTGAGGCAGAACTCAAAGGGGTGGCACAGTTCTTCTATGCTAACGGCAGTCCTCTCGTTCAGTTCTTCACCATATTTTTCTATCTTCCCTATCCTCAGCACACTCTTTCTCCCCTAAAGAGAAAAACGACAACTTGTGTGAGCAACTCTGGCGACTTCGTGAACCGCGTCTACAAACTGAAGATGAGCGCTGAGGAAAGCCTAGTGTCATTCAACGGCATTTCGCTTTTCACTAGTGTGCCGGTTCCTTTGGCAGATGGCACTTCCAGAAAGGCCCTCAAAAATAGAAGAAACTAAGCGACAGGACCGCGCATACTGTGGAAGAAATAGCCCGCCTTATTGAGTTCTCTCTCAGCAGCATTTATTTTAGTGTGACGGGGGAGCTCTTCAAGCAAGCCAGTGGAACTTCAATGGGGGCGCCCATCTCGGTCATCACAGCCAGTCTCGGGCATCAAAGCCTGTGCATGGAACCCATTGAGGAAAAGGCCCTGCAGTCATTCGCCCCACTACCCAAAGTAATTTTGCAGCATGTAGATTACTGCTTCTACACTCTTCAAAAGCCGAAAGTGGACAGATTTTTCTCGCACCCAAACTTCATCTAACTGGCCATCAACGTTCGCCGTAGAACGTGAAAGGACGATAAATTATATTTTCCCGACGTGCTCCTAAGATGGAAACACGAAAAGGAAATGTTTTCCGTGTACAGGAATCCCACGTATACTGGACGGTATCTCCAGTTTGATTTCAATTACCCGGCCTGTCCCAAATCATTCGTGGTCAGGACCAGCGTGCTGAACCGGAACCGAATTGGAGTGAACCAGAGCGAAACCCGGAACCGAACCGTTTGTTTCGGTTCCGGAATCTGGAGAAAACCGGAATCTCCCCGCCATCTTTGAATTGAACCTGAACTGAACTGGAAAAAGTATACTGATAACCGGCTCAAAACGAGTCATGGTTTTCTGAATTTTCTGTTTTTGTTAGCTACACGAAAGGAATATTTTAGAATAAAAAAAATGGCATCTGAGTGGCAACGTAATAATGAAACTGTCATACACAAATCTGCGATATATTCGAAATTGCGGTTTCTGTGGCACTTTTATACTGGCGCTATGATTAATCATGTGTCACGTGGTCACGTGGCATCATAGTGTCAAGACAGGCTGTCAAGTACTCACGTCGCATGGCCCCGTGACGTTATGTGGCGTTGTCACGTGACTCACTTTGTCAAGTCGATTTAAATTGAGAACGCCACTACCAGTATTAATTAGCCTTGCTGACAAGGTGACATCACATGACATCACGACTTCGCCCCTGAGTCACCTGACACCTTGACGTATTCGATTGTCATAAGCCCGAGTCGAGCGCTCGGACTCATGATAATCAAAATCGCCAAATGTTGGGGTATTGGCTCGTGTTCAATCAAAGATGAGAATAGCCGAACTCTAACAATGTCTGAAGCTCAGGCCCTGCTCTATGCCTTGCCATCCCCAGCACATGACTATGATCAACACTAGCAGTACACAATTAGTGTCACATCAAGTGACCGCTTGTTTTAGTTGCGAGCTGAGGAGGGGAAAGCTGTTTCTTTCCTTTCTTTTTCTGCGTCTGTCATTGCGCGAAGAGGAAAACTAATAAGTGTTTGCAAGCTATGAACGTCAAAGATTACGTTTCAACGGGATTTACTTAATGTACAAACGTTTTGCGCGTTCCACTTTACATATACCATCATTGAGGCACCCAAACATGTTTTCTTTGCTGCTGAACTGCTTCAAAAAGGTGTCCCGACCATAGGAGCATAGAATGGACTAAATGTTAGGTATTAACCCGACGTTTCGTAGAACTATACAGGTTTTTACAGTAGGTATGCTTGAAAAAAACGATCCTAATGACCTCAGAGTGACCGCCGAATGTTGGCAGCTGCTCTGAGTCTTACTGGAGTGTCGTTCTCAAGTTCTTTCCCAAGCTTCGACCAATTTTGTTTGGACGATTGCTGTGAACAGGAGGCACAAATTCTATTGCCGAATGAACACCCCTGGACCGAAGGAGAGAGTCCCCCAGGAACAAAACGTGTTCTCTTGAGAAGCAACGATCAGATAAAAAGGGGGGGGGGGGGGGAGAGATTTAAAAACATACTGTGTTGTAAATGTTCCTCTGCACCGCACCTTCGGCACGGACCATAAAGCGTGGAACCGCAAACTACTTTGTTTGCATAAAGCGCGTTTTCGTGATGCCAGACGTTCGCGCCGTTCCTCATAACGCTGCATCAAGCAAGAATAATTTATCTAAAAAACATGGCTTCCATTGGGCAAAATCCTTTTGCAGCGTGCTTTTTGCGCCGGCGAATTTGACTTTCTACGCAACAGCAAATCGCGATGCCCGCCGGCATATACTGCAATAACGTAACGTGCAAACCCTGCTAAATAATTTATGAAACGATTTGTCCACTTTCGCTAAATACTACACAGAATCACTCCCTAATGTTAATACTTAAGTAAGTTTGCCTAGAGTTTGCTTGCCAGGCAATGGTGGTCACCAAGCAAATTAAAAAAACATAGACGTTATTCGTTTGTTTTTTTGTTTTTTTTTTTCTTATCGTTTTCAATCACGTCGGTTCCGTATGTAGTATGCAGGACGAAAAACATATAAAACATTTCAATCTTAAATATGGGAGAAAGTATAGGTGAGGCCAAACAAGGATGTGTGACAACCGCGCATTTTTTGTAAACACTTTCCAATGACGTGGAGAGATAAAAAAACGTTTTAGTGCATACAAAAAGTGACGGCATTCAAGATGGCTGCGCCCTTGTGGAAAAGGTGTATAGGCATCGCTCATCCCCTCAACTTGAAGCCAGAACAAGTGGCCACGGGGCCTGGTGCCTCTCCTATGCGGCCAACGTTAATCATAACCACGCACTGGGGTTGGCAAAGCAGAAAACACATGCTAAGCTGACTTCGATTATTTTCGCGTTTTACGTAGAAAGGGTAATTGAGAGGTCATCAACATTTACCACCTAGGTTAGTATCCCAACTGAACACTTTCCACCACTATAGTAGTTTTGACGAGAGTCTATATATAATTAAATAAATTTTAAAAAATACGGCGATGGCTTGTTCTTGTTAGTGCCGCAAAGTGTGTTTCTGGTCTACCACAAAAGAATCTGCTTATGTCTAAGTTTGTAGAAAAATAAGAAAGGCAAGCACCTTTTCGCGGGACAGAGGGGCCATTGCGGCCAGAGCAGCCAACGAGGAAGCTTTCCCGCCGCAGACTCGGCTGTCCCAAGCTGCTCCATCTCCGAGACATACGACACGCTTTTGCTCGGATTCTTTTTTGCCTACATAACGTGTTACAAAAAAAGCAAAAAGTCAATGCGTTTAGAATATTTTATGTGCATAGTTGTTAATATTCTTAAGACAGTGCGGTTACCCATCACAATAAGTACAACGTTGAAGCAGGGGAAAGGCCTGAGGCTTTGTGGGATAAAACAGATGCGACCGTGAAAAAACTCATACTGAATAAGCTGCAATATGGCTTTTCTTGAGAAAAGAGATTTGGAGCATCATTCCGGCTTGCGGTTAGGAATCTCGTCAGTGTACAATTTTTTTTTTTTATTTGTTCCTTGTGTGCTCCTATTTTCGCAAGCTGGGAATGCAATATTCAGAACATAACTAAGACAGCGAAGGGAGGAGCCGGACAGTTAATGCTAATTTAGCAGCCTTGAGCCCATCCTGGTACGATCCCCTTTGTGTTTAGGAATGGATCGGACTCGCTATTTGTCATGACCTTTACGTCATTATTAGTAGATTTACTGCTAAAACAAATGGCGCACACTGGACTCATTTTAAACGGTTTTCTAGTGTTTTCAAATACCTAAGACACGGGTTAAAATGACTTCGGAAGGTTCAGGCGCCTTTGTAATGTTCAGAACCAAGTAACGAGTCATATCTTAGCTTCCCTCGAAACATTCACAAATATTTAGTCAACTAAATATGCCTCAAATCTTCAAAACCGTATAACAAAATGTAAACCTGTATCTTTTTTTCTGTTTCTTGTAGGGGCTACAACCACACTATGGAACCCTCTAGAAGAAAGCAGAATCTATTTAAACGAAATCGCCATCAAAATATCGCAATCGATTTTTTTTTTTTTCAGAATGATATATTAGAATCCATCTGGTTACAATGGAATACCACTTGAACAAACTTCGAGGGACTCGACGAAAAATTTGCTTAGGTGGAAGCTTCCTCAAGTGAATGCATTGAGCACAATCTAGTTTTGCTGGCGAATTTTACAAATGTTTTTCTCGCGTGAATAGTTTGTACGGCTGGAGCTTGTTCAATTATAACTTGTTTTGAAGTTTGTCGAAATGGCATTCTTTTGTATTATGACAGCTTTTATTATGTATAAAACCTTCCAAAATTATCAATACGTTCAAACAAACAAAACTATGGGTAGATGCTCTCAGCTGTTTTAATCTTGAGATTTCTCCTAGCATCATTACAGTGACCACCCGAACCCTCATATAATATTGATGCATCATGATGATACTACAGAAAGGTAAACACAAGTTAAACAATAAAACAGCCAAGTTATTTGGGAGACCCAATTTGTAATAACAATCAATACTTACTTTCTGGTATTCTGATAATTGTCTGCGGCTTCCAGGTAAGAGGTTTCCTTGAGAAGAAAAATACCTAGTTTTTAAAATGGCCCCTAAATGACTTACAGTAGTGGTACCATCATTGAAATCAAAACAAATCATGCGCAGATCCTTTTTGCTTTTAGCGCTAATTTTATTTTTAGATGTTTCTGGAAGTAGTTCCAGCAATCGGCATACGCAGTCCATAAACTGTTAATCTGCTAGCACATATCGCGCAATTCTGACTCAGTTCCACATTGACCAGGTAATTCACTTAGCTTCCTTGAGCGTTAATTAGTTTTCGAGATTAAAAAGGCGTCCGGACGATTCGCAGTGTCGCATACTCTGTGGAGCCAGGTCACAAGCAGTGCTCACAACTTTGTGCACAAATGTGTATTGGGTATTTGTCTGCTCCTACACGCAAAGCATAAAGTATGAGCTAATAGGTTAGTGTTAAACTCACTTTATCAGTGAATAAAGTTTAGCCCGAAAACAATTGCCCGAACTAAACGAAAACAAACACAGATTGCAGACACGACCAGGTGCTACATTTTATGTCTGGAATGTGTATTTAATGGGAAAAAAAAATTGTGGTGCGAAGGGAAGTAGAGGCGATGTTCAGGGACTAAGACATTTAACGCCCTTAATTATTTAAGGATGTAAAACCGGTGTTCCGGAGATTTATACTCATGGCTATACCCGTTCAGCTCCTTAATTTCCAGTTATGCACCCATTTTAATAGTGAAATAGGATGCTGTTTTATATAAGATCCTTCATACTTGAAGGATGTAGAGAGGGTGAGGAAAGAGTGATGTGATGAAGAGAGGAAAACACCCCTTTTGAAGGCTGTTCGCAGCACTTCACACACATCAAGCCGTTTGCGCTCAGGTCGTTAAGTGACTATGTCCAATAACTATTGGATGTACTAATGTTGTCGTTTTTTTTTTGTTTTTTTTTTTCTGCTCCGTTTATTACTTTGAGGTACATTTCCTAAACCTAGATATATTATGCTCAGGTGTAGTTGTATGCGTAAGGCCTAAGTGGTGACGTCGGATCCTTGACGTCAGATCTTTCAGCAGAAATATCTGAAGTCACGGACAGATGTGTCGTCCAGGGTGATGGATTGCCGAGATCTATTGGTTCACGTAATATTTGCCATTTCACCAAATACTAAACATGGATTTTTAAAATCTGGTTGATGTCATTTTTTTCATAGAAGAGGTTTTCATTTATGGGCTTATGGGGGCTGTCGCCTCTCCTCCTTAAATCCTATCTTGATACGCTTTACGTGAAACATGGACAAAAATAAAGCAACTTGTAACCTTTGTAATTAACGAGTTGCTGGTCTGTAAATGTGAGTATTTGAGCTGTGGAGTTTATAATGCAGTGGAGCATATAAGGAGGTGGAGCAGTCAAGAGGATTGAGTTTATTTCCTGTGCGTTATTCGTCGCATTTGTGCTTGTTTTTCTGCGCAAGTGAGTACTGCACGTGGTGTCTGTTCCTTGTAAGCGGCACAGTCTATTTATTTTCATTAATTTTGGAATTCCTAAGGGCCCTAGAAAAGTACCCCTAGGAGCGTGCTAAGACCAACCGCACCCCATTGCGTTCACCAGCATCTTTAAGGAATGGTCAACCCCCCCCCCTTCATCCACACAAAAAAGGGTTTATATATGTTTTGCCAGACGATTCATTATGGTGTCACAAAACTACCCAACTACTAAATCAACATCTCTTTATAGCGAATAGTATATATGTAATAAAGTCAAAAATAGAACTGCTCGAGGCCGACACCGAAATCGGACTTGGGAGGAAGAAGAAATATGAAGGAGCAGTGAGCTGACGGAGGTCGTGGCTGGGAACATTTTTTTTTTTCAGTCCACGTATTTGCAGTGTTTTAGAAGCTACGAAACTGTGTATAATATAATATATTTCTTATATATTTAATATCGAATGTGTGCCTTCGATGACCCACGACTTTGACTATAATTGGTGTTTGTGTCCAGATCATAGAAAACGACACGTGACCACGGAGAAGAGAGTGGGTTCGACTCAATACGGCCAATTTTAAATCGGCGGTTTTCGGGCGGAAAGAAAACTAAATTCGAGCCTCAATTTTTGTTCTGGGTATTTGGTCTCTTATATGTCATGTTAAAATAAAAACCTTGGCGAGCATAAATGCACGTCAGTATCCCCTTTAGGGTGTTTTTGTAACATCCTTTTCGGTGTTAGCTTTGGGAAAGGCTAACTTGTACTCACAGTTCTGAAATTCCGAGTTCACGTCGTTCCCATTTTATCAATGCCATATTACCGCCCTAACCTTTATTATGGATTAATTATATTTTTACCACAACTAGGTACAAACGAGCTCCACTTTCCGCCCTCCTGTGTTTTATGTTGTTGTCTGTTGTCTGAAACCTAACCGGCGGCTTAGCCTCAAGCTCACTCACCTGTGAAACACAAGCTGAACCGCTTGTCCCCGACTCGTGTCCGTGGATATCCTAAGCGGCTCTACGACCTCCAAACAGCTGTCTTCGTCGGCGATTTCGAGCCCAGTTTCGCCATTCAGACGCTCCGTGCGAACGTCGTACACTCGGTGCACTGAGGACACAAGGTGACATATTCAGGTGTCAGCGTTCTGCAATTAGTCTAGAAAAGTACCGCTGATGTTTACCATATCCGATTGCTTCCAACCCAAACGCTAAAACTCAAGAGTCACAGCGGCCAATCCTTTGCTTTTTATATCATAGCATTCGCCGCCAATCTCCCGTTTCACACAATCGATGATCGATGCTGCAAAATATAGGCACGTGTTTTTTTGTTGTTTTTTTTGCACTGAAATGTGTGCTATTCTATGGCACTGACATCTAGAGTTCAGAATGTGACAAAAGCGTACGTTACAAATTTAATAACCTCATTATCTAGGTCAAGTGCCTAATATACGGGGCGAATTCGTCAGGTGACTATGTTCTGCTTAACAAGGCCGAACATAGCTGATGCTTAGTGCGTTTTCTATCCCCGGCTGAGCCAATCCTGCACGGCGAATGCACCCTGATTTTACGTTTTTTGATCTGTGTGACTGATTGATTTAGCCTGTGACGATGAGCACCATGACGATGCACTTTTTCCGCTGCCTCTTTGACTCCAAAGCATGGTAACCTTGGCTGCTCTGGGAGTTAGAGTGTAACGGGGTATAGGCGTTCGCTACATTACAGATGATAGAGAGTTTTAGGGAATCGTTTTTGCACGTCCGATAAGGTTTACCATGGGCTCTACGGCAGGAACTACATGCTACCGCAGAAGACGCGCACATGCAGAGTTCGTACCGAAGGGCCAATCGTAGCATATCGGATGGGCAAAAAGGGTTCCCTAAAATCCTCTAATAATTCCGCCTGTCGACCAATCCTCTCGATTAATGGAGCTAGACTGCTGTGTGGTAACAAAATGATTGGTCGCTGAAGAAGCTACGGTCATGTCTTGGTAATATAGACACCTCAACACCTTCCCTCTTCCAAAGGATCGTTCATAATGCGACTTTTTTATAACGAGACAAAAATTCACATATTCATCCAGTTTGGCCTCAAATGGTTTGTCTATGTCGCCAGGTACCCACATTAACCGGGCCCATAATGACGAAGCACTAACTACAAAAATCTCAAGTACGCAAGAAGCTAGAACCACGAGATCAACTTCTCCAAACATCTTAGAAATCAGAATGACGCACTGACAAACAGAATAGGCGATGCCTTTGATGCTAATGTAAACCCAACGACTCATTGACACAAAGCTATTGCTACGCATACAAGAATAAACGTATTTCATTAAGGTGCCGAAAAAAAACAAAGATACGTTAGGCTGAAGAAAATGTTCCGACTGCTATATTTGCATGTGAAGGAAGGTAAAGAGTATGACAGATTGTAAAAAAAGTAAAAAGAAATTTATGTTGTCCATATATAACACAAAAAAGCTTAAAGTACACCTAAGCATCTCTTATGAGTTGTGAATGCAGAAGCATGCAAGCCGCTCGTCCGCTCCCTTTGTCGTCTGCTCGTCCGATTTCTTTGTCTTCTGCTGCGTACTAGCTCGCGCGCGCTTCGGGAAATCGGGGGCCATGCGCAGCGGCCATTGGGAGCCCCGTCGACGCGCGCGCCAGCCAATGGAACCGAAGGCGAATAGCTCCTATTGGGATCGCGGAAACCAGGAGCCGTTTTCGCGCTTCAAACTGATGACGTCAGCTCACTCCATGAGACAGTTAATGCTTCCGCATTAAAACACAGACCAAACGACAATGATTGTCGTGCGTGTAGCATCGGCAAAAGCCGCTGCAAACAGATTCTCCAGTTTGACGCCAACACTCATGCACTGCTGAAAGCTTGGAAAAAGGTGCACGAGAGCGGCGCTGGCTTGAGCTATAAAGGATTCACTTTTAGTCTGTCAAACGGCTCCGTTCATTTTTTTAATCGCCTCCGCCACAGTGCATAATGCTAGAGCATCCTGTCAAGGTCTGTTGCTGACAGCAAATGTAGAATAGCATTTGTAAAGAATGAAGCCGAGGTTATGTGATGTTCCCAGCACCACTGTTAAAGTAAAGGCCCGTTCACATCTTTGGGTTTGCTTAGGACCGATATATTTCGATATCTTTAGCACGAAGGAACACACAGGCACGCTTGCATCACCTCTGCTCTGGCCCTGGGATTGCATTTCACTGGAGCAAACGTTTTGCGCTATTTCCGAGATCAAATGTACGTACTTTCTATGTGAAATTGTCGTTTCTAAAGTTTTCAGTGGATTTTCAAGCCAAAAAAAAAAAGAATGGTATGCGAGAAAAATAGGAAATATACGAAAACTGCACGTGTTTCACGGCAAGTCGATGGAGGGCGCTTGTGAGTTTTTTTTGTCAGAAGAGATTTCAAGGGGTTTTAAGGAGCACGGTCCTAAAAAAAACGCAAGTGTATGAACCAGCGTAAGAGTTGAACCGTGTTCTACTTTCTTTTTACTTCTTGCAAGTTCTTCAAGGTTATCTGCATAGTTCGACATACAAGTGCTGCGTTCCTTATGCCTTCGACAGCGCCACAAATTAAACAGTTTGGTGAATCATGTCTTGTATTGAGGTCGGGATAATACTTCGGGAGTAAGTAACCTTCCAACATGTCTGATGAGGCAAGCTGTTAAAAGGTAAGTATTACGTCGTCTTTATCAGAATCTAAAACTCGCATGGCGCAGGCTTGTTAGTGATTCAAAGAGTGTCTGGTCCGGAGCTTGCTGTAAACACGGTGTAACTATTTTTTTTTTCTATTTTCGTTGAAAAAGGTGATAGTCTACAGTCTGGGATAAATCTGTGCAATGCATAAAAACAATATTTGGTCCAAATGCGCTGCCTCAGTTTTAGCGCCTCAACAGTCACCTCGGTTGCTTCGTGACAAAGCGCCGGTTTACGGATTTCCAGGTGTCGGGTTTGAATCCCGGCCGAAGTGCCCGCAATCTGAAAGAGGCTTATTGCGGAAGAGGCGCAGCGTAACCGAGCTTTCGGTTGCAAGTCAAAATACACCCAAGTGGTTAGAATTAATCCTCAGTACTCTACCTCGGCGGGCCAGATATCCTTCGTTGGATTGGCAGGTAAAGCCATTAAATTTGACTTTCACTCAATCAATGATTTTAACCCGTTGCTGAAGTCTCTTGGTTGTAAAGTGTAAGAACCTAATTAACCCCATCGACCGCCCCCCAAAAAACATAGAAGGCTGTAAATCACTTTCCAGCACTGCTTGTTTCTAACTGTCCACTGGCCTCAATATCATCATTTCAGTTGCAAGTGAAAATAAAAAAATTATGAGAACAAATGTGTTATACCTTCACAGCTCTAAGCTGCGTGTTTTTCACTGAGAGTAGTACCTGCTTTTGCAGTAAGAGAGTTATGTAATTTTTTACGCCTTGAGAATTGGGCTGCCTAATTCACTTCGCTGGACTCGTCAGTACGGCCCCACGCAACATTAACGTACCTGTTTCCATATGCAGACCTGAAGCGTGCCCGTCCTCTTCTGTTTTCTTCCAGAGGTCTACCGCATGCAGGAACAGGTTTGGTGCCATCACAAAACCTCGCTTAAGTCTGAAATGCATAGCCCAGACGATATAGAGTTTTCGCAGTTCAGATCAGAACGCGTAAAAAAAGCACGTTCCAAAGCCTTTCTACCCTGTACTCAAAAGACCTGTTTAACAGCAATGGGGCTTTTCTTTACAGTTTTAAATGGCAGAATCTTCCAGAGAGTCCCTATTCGCGTCTTCAGCTCGTTGCTCGCCCTCTCGCGACGGAAACGGGAAGCGCTCTAGTGAGAGTCCCCCCGCGTCTCCTCCTCACCGGGCACAGCGGTACTGCTCGCGATCATGGCTCGCGAAAAGTCATTTCTGAATTCAAGCAAGATTCCTCACTGTCTTAATGGAGTGCTGCAGCCGGCATGTGAGTCTGCATCACTAGACAGTTGCAGTATTGCGTATCAAAGCAAACGCAAGTACTGTGCATTTGCGTTAGGGTTGCGTGCTCCACGATGCACAAGCGCGTCGCTGCCATACGCCAATCTAAGAGCGAAATTTCGGGCACCGCGCACGCGCATTGTGGAACACGCATCGCTAACACGAACACAGAGTGCTGGCGCACGCTCGTATATGCTAAACCTCAACACGGTTTCACTGGATTACGGTTTCGGTTTTCTTCCTGAATTAAAACGTGCCTCCCCAAGGATATATTACGCTAAACACCATTTTTGTTTTCAGTCAGCTAGGGTGTTATGCGCATGACACCCTACCTTTCTCGTATAAGCGGAAATAATTTGTGTCACTCAGTGAAGCCAGCACACTAGACAGGTCTCAGCAACTGGTATACCAGCACACATCTCCGACCCTCACTTTAACCGCCATTTCGGGAAACGAGTGGCGCCGCCTATACACGATTGGAGTCGCGAATACGAAACCACCGATGTTTCAGCCGGTGTTCGTGCGCAAGATGTAATTGCGTAACGCGATGGACTTACAGAAACACCAGTGAGTTCACCTGCCTGCGGAACACAAAGACAGCCAATCTCGACGGACAATAGAAGGGTCCCAGCGAATAATGAGGCCAAGAATACGGTTATATCGGAAAAATGTGATGTGCACAGTGTTGTAAAGGTCTTGTGGAGGCCTCGTTCCTCTGCCCCCCCCCCCCCCCCCTCTCCTCCCCTGTCTTCCCCGGGCAGGGGTGCGACTTAACCTAGCAGCAAGAAGCACGTGACCGCCAAGCCTCAAGTCGCTATTGCATGGTACCACCCGCAAGGCGCCCCTAGACAATGAGGGTAACAGCCGGCCTCTTTACCCTAAGTGAGCCATCTGGATTACCCTCTTCCAGCGAGGAACGTCTAATGGTTCAGCCAGATGAGCTCTCGACTTCAGAAGCGTCCCAATCTCCCGTCCAGACTCGACGATGACACGGGCAGCCTAAGGGTGACACGGCGCTACTGGGTCAAGGATGTCTGGTTGTGAGCTGGTTGTGTGGGAGGGAAAGAATGGAGGCGAGCCTTAAACGCTTGGAACTGACACTTTAATAGCATTGGCTGTGGAATTTACTGCAAGACGTCCTTACTACAGATATGGGGGAAATATGCCCTATAAAAGAAGCACCCAGCGGCTGCAAGAGTGTGCTCTCTGACAATGTACATAGCTCGGTAAAGACGTAAACAGTGTATACGAGCGACCTCACGGTTCTCGAGTTCCCTACCCGGAGTCATCCTCCGTTCCTGGCCTGGCTCCATCTGCGCAGCAGCCTGGAGAACTCCTCGGTCACAACTTAGGCAATGGGCGAGTAAAACGCTATGCTTACTTTCACTCCCCACTGCGTATGTGCGTGCGTATGTGTGTGTGTGTGTGTTTGTGTGTGCGTGGGTGTGAAATTGCAGTCTGAGCATTGTCACACGCTGGAACTCTTCTACTCTTCGCCATGATTGGCTACCTCGATGTTTTGCAGAAAAGTGAAATAACAGACCTCTTTTGGAGCGCACCTTCACGGGAAGGCTATTGCCACGCTTCGACGTTTATCTCACGCTGGACTATGTAATCATAAAACAATCGTTCGAAGTATTCTCGCTCTTACTCAACGGGTTTGTGCCCATAATTATTCTCTCCTGTAGTGTTTTATAACACTTCCACGCCAGTAAAGGAACCTAGCGAGAGTGTCAAAAACTGTGAATATAATAAAGCTTATGTGGATTCAGGTAACCTGTTAATAAACTTGCATATCCTCCATTGTGCTATAACCTGCACTTGTAGATTACAAACTTGTAGGTTTGTGCTTCACATTCTCTCATTAAGCTTCAAACAAGTGTATGCACGTCACAATGCTTTGGTGGCAAGGTCTGAAACCAGTTCTTTAACAGATCACCATAGTCTGTTGCGACATTAGACCTGCAAAAGCTCCGACTCCACCACGCGCTCGTTGCCTCACATCGTGCTTCGGCTAGCCGCGCTTATGAGACATTAACTTGCTGTCGTGCTTACGATAGAACTTCTACTTCAGATCTTAAGGTGCAACACACAATGGATGCAGCATTGTGAACAACATATGGTATGGGCTACTGAACCTTCTCTTTCTATAAGCTTTTGTGAGTCTAGTAAATATAATATATACTATATAATATATTACACGAGACGTAACATTTTTACGAAAATAGAAAGCTTTTTGCGGGGACAAATTGAAGAGGCAGAGCGCTGGATGATCATAACCGCCCTTTAGCAGTGTATTCACATAGGCTAAAATAAGTCGTTGCATATATTCATCGTAACATTAAAATATAGCATTGAGAGTTCTATTTACATTTTAATCGATACAATTACCTTTAGCGAAAATATGAAAAGACTTCTAAATACTTCCATTCTTAAACAAGAAAACCTGCTTCAAGTTTTAGAGCTTCTGTAGGTAAAAATCAAAGTTTCTCCGCACATTAGAGCTGTGTGAAAAATCCCACAGGAACTCTCGGTGACCCACCATTGTACCGTGCGGCGCGGGGAATCAGAGGGCTATTCCGGTGTACGCTCGGACCGACTTGTACACTCCGTACGTCCTGGAAGCGGTGCGATTCCTTCTCTCTTTCTAGTGTCAGTTCAGAACACAAAGAAAGCACAACAAACACATAACGAAGCCACAAGAACCCTGTTCCGTTATCGCCGTGACTTCTTTGCTCTAAAATTCCGAAATGATGAACTGACACAAGCAACTCCTGATGTGCCACAGGTCGGGCTGCCATGAAACATCGAGAACATAAGAGGGGGAAGGGAAAGGACGATGGGGAGGGACGGATAGGGGACGCTGCGCATCTCCGGAATCGTTTCTTGCGAACAGTGCGACTCGAGCCAGTGATGTAAAAATATTTCTTTCAGAAACTTCCAAAACTTGTGGTTTCATAGCCCAAATACTAGATCCTAACCTTCGCTCCTCAAAATATTCTCACGACGAAGAAACAAAGCACGCTAATTTAATAACATATGTTTTTTAGTTGCATAGAGTATACGAGCATTAGAGGGACAACTCACGTGGCGCCGTTCACGTTCTCCGAAGACACATGAAAAACTATCCGGCTCTGCAAAAGAAACAAAAATTACAGCGTCCGATTGGTTAGCATTGCTCAACGACTTTGTCAATTCAACAAGCGGTGTTCATACAACACCGCAGCAGTAAACTCTGGAACGTTGCAAAGCGTGTCGTGTATTCACGACTCGCGTTGAAACTGTTTCTTAAGGGGGGACACTACCCAGAGAAAACAAAATTCTGCAGAAAACGAAAACATTGATTTTGAAAAATTACATATTTACATCCATCTACATCCAGAAAGTATTCCCAGCAATTTTCACTAGTTTACACTGCATAGTTAATTTTTTATAAATTATTTTCTGTCCACCAAAGCTAAAGAAAAGGTAGGGTTTGGAGCACTTTGAACACATTTTTCCCCGTTCCACTTTCTTGTATAAATTCCATTTTAGTCAATCTATCGTTTGCTAATGGCAATACAGGGAAGGCTCGTTCTTCACTTTTCCTGACTGAAATTTAATAAGGAATGCGCCTATGGAGCTTGTTTGTCACTTTACGGATGTCTTTTATAAAAAATGTTGACATTTTGTCGGAGATACAGAAGACCAAAAAGTTGACCAATTTTACAGAAGAGCAAATTGATAGAAATCAATGACTTTTTACAAAAAACTTTCGATAGGCACACCTCCTAGGCATTCTGCTACATATCTAGCGAATAAAAATCTTGAATATTGTGATAGTTTTCCAACGATAGATTAACTAAACAATGTAGGGGTGTGGCAGATAGACGCTGCGCTAATTTCCTTCCCACTTAACCGACAGACCTGAAATTTTGTTATGCACCCTCTAACATAACCACCAGCCTACCCTGTAAATTTCATTAATTTTAAGTCAAGGGTTCAAAAGTTGACCCTCCCAGGGGGTGTCTCCCCTTAACTGATTTTTCAACCACGTGATTTCGCCGTCAGATATCTAGAAATTTTAACTTCACTGCATTCCCATCTTAGAACTAAAGCACGAGGCCGTGGCAGCAATTAAATACAAGGTAAAACGCAGTCGAAATATTTACAGTCACTCATTTCCATTTGCATCAAACATTCACGGCACCTGGTGTAAGCAGATAGAGCTGTAGAAGCTAGTAGTAAAAACTTAAACACAAACACCAAAATACCTCCTCTGTTTTGCTTGCTTCTATTTTTTATGTTGCACATGAGTAGACAATCACGCTGATAACAATTTTAGATGTGTATAAGCATGCATGTCTACGCAGCAGCTTTGCTCAATAACACAACATTGTAACATATGTTAGGACTTTCTAGATTATGGTTGAATAAAATTATTTCTGTGTCAAAAAGATACGCTACTTTATTAATGCAATAAAGCGACCTGCTTTGAACGACGATTCAGTCTACTTGCTCCTACATAATCAGCCGAGCCCATTTTACATAGCTGCGAATAAGCTTTTATATTACCTCCAAAGTTCCGAGGTAGTGGCTTGTCCTAGAACCAACTTCATTTCGTCGCCCTGAAATACGAGCATTGGGATGAAGCAATCTTGCTGTTATACTTGTCATAGGAGCCTGAAAGAACGAGTTGTTCAATGCTGGGCAGCTGACCTAAGAGGTCATCATTTCTGATTGGTAGCTGTTAGAAGACACTCAGCATCTATCATAACGCTTCCTTCCTATAAATGTTGGTTTACACGCCTGCAACTGCTTGCAACCGAAGAGGCGGTTTTAACCCTCTCCGGCCATAAGCACCCGCAAGTGTGTGAACCAGCCTTAAAGGGAAACCTGCTCAGTTTAATTTCAGTACCCCATAAACAAAGATTCTATTTCAAATACATTTGAGACGCGTGGCCTTATTGATCGCAGCGCCAAAGATTTGTGCCCTTGATATTTTCGTGTCACTTCATGGTGCCCTTAGAACGCTCTCGTGGTTGAATGAATCGCAGAGGGCAGGCATCTTCTAGATCAAACAAAAATTTAATGATCGGCAAGAAGCAATTAGGGCACCCCCCCCCCCCCCCCTGCAGTCATGGGAAGGATTTATTCTATCTAGCTCTTTCACATGAATGCAGGGGAAGAACGAATAATCGAGTGCGCTACACTGTATTACGGGCACTTATAACTTCTAAAGGGGTGACCTGTGACGAGCACCATTTCCAATGACGTTGATTTCCTTCTCTGTTCCTTACTGATTAGATATATAAAACTTGATCATGCCGTGATCTGTAGAGACAGTTTTCAATCGGCTCCTTGTGTTCGAACGCACGACCAGAGCCGATTGGAGTTCATAATTGAAAAATAAAACCCCTTAATACGTGGTCCTATGCGTTTATGATGGTTGTCTGCCCGAATTCGCTGCGCAGTTCTGAACCACTCAAAACACCATTTGGCAATTTCTTTATTACCGCGTTATGATCGGTGGTCATGGAGCAGTCGCAAGTGTTTTCAAATAGAGTGTTAGAGTAGAGCTTACCTCGCATCCGCTGGCGGAGACCCCACAGCCGCAATTCCCTTGAAGGTGAGGCTTCGCTGGCCACGGAAAGCGTGCCAAACATGTTGACCGGCTGCTCGTACGCATCGTGTCTGCGTCAAGAAATTCATTATAGGCGTTTTGGTGCAGCGCAATTTAGAACAAATGATAAGGCTTATCATCCCACATTTGCAGCAGTCACGAAATTGAAAATGAGTGCTCTGCTATCAAACCCAACTGCAGATTTCTCAAGCTTAACAACGAAAGTCACAATTGAAGGCTATCCACATTCTTAAGAAATAAACTGTGATACATAACTTTAAACATCAGAAGTAACACTAGGGGCCCTAATATGCAACAATAAGACGATTTTTTTAGATAAATCAAGGAGCCACATGGTGGCAAGATTTACGACAAATGTGAAAGTATAAGATTTCTTGACGGTGAGCCACTTTAATTAATTTTTTTATTAAATTGAAAACTATAAAACCTCACGTTTCATTTCACTTGCCATGGAGTTTTTAAAATTAGCGTATACATGAGCCTACACTTGTAATTTGAATGCAGTCTCGAACCATCACGTTCTCCGACAAAACCCACGCATATCGATGGTATGGCAATACTTCTAAACCCTTACAACAAACCATTATTCCTTAAGCTGTCTTCCTCCTTAGATATATATCATTACTAGTGATGACTCGAAGCCTTGCTCGTGGCTACCCATCTCTAGGTTCAAAAATTATACTCGGGCATTGAAATTGTGCAGGAATACCACGTCCTCAATCAAGGTGTCAGCACAACCCCGCTTCGGGGTACATCACTTTCCTCTGGTGTTACAGAAGCCCACAAAGAGACCGCGTTTGGGACACGTTAGAAAGACACCAATTCTTTGGCTGGCCGGCAATCGGCTGAAAACTTTTTTTTTTATTGCTCATGTGATTTGAAAGAAACAAAAATAGGAAGATGATACATTTTTTTCTCCAATCCAGGCTCCTTGAACCCTAACTCCGCCTTAGCATAACTTGACAAATGGAGACCTCTCCGGGCTGATTAAGTTAATAACATTTTTGCAGCAAGCGGTCGTTAAAGCGTTGCGCAGGAACGCTGGCAACGCCTTTTAGATTAACCGTAGTTTGTGAAGACCCTCATCTACCTCCATGTAACGTCATCACACTAGGATGGCGCCAACTAATTAATTGTGCCCTGGCCCGACGCCGAGCCACGATCGACGCACGAAACAAGGCCTAGCCGAGCGCTGACTCAGCACTCGGGACCAATTCGCGTCTGCTCGACCTCGCTGTGATGGCGTCAAAATGTTAGTGCACGGGCTTTCGGTTATTTTGGGTGGTGTTGGTGCTGTACGGTAGTCGTCTGTTTCGTGCCGTGCCCCGATAACATTAAGATTGGCTCGCGATGCTGTAAATTGGTTTTACATACGTGCACTAAAGAGAACCATTGATTTCACCAAAAATGGCCATTTTCATTCGCATCGTTTTTATTTTCACTACAATAGCAATATTACTGTATTCTTTTCCTAATCCTTACTTGTAATATTCCTAGCTGTTTGCTTGTTTCTCAGTATTGTTCTTGTTGCCTCTTCATTATAATTAATGTATTGGTTATTGAGATGTAAACACAGGGTTCATGCAGCAATGTCAAGCCTACCTCGGCATGTCTCCAGCAAGTCCTCCCCAGGAGCCCTGGGCCAGAAACAGGGCGCGGGCTTCTGCACTGGTGTCGCTGTCGTGGTCGTACACTTCGGTAATGGCGTTGACGCTGCGCACAAGGGTCGTCTCTAGCGAAAAGATTCATTCAGCGGCACTTTTTTAGCGGGTCAGCATTAGAACGTTCGTTTTCACAAAAACCCTCCGGTGTCAGTCCGTTCGTCAGCGCCATGCATGATGCCGCGAGGAAAGTGGGTGGGTAAGGGGATATCGTGTTTACACATTCAGTGTCTCACCATGGCGGTGGGTAGACAGGGACAGGGTGATTCGTGCTGACGTCAGCGCTTCGGGCCAATACGAGCGTCGCACAGCTGGTGCGGAGCCAAAGTCGACAGAGCCCCGCGTCGCTTTGGAACGTGGCCTAGCTTAGTTGCCGTTCTGCCGATGGATGGGGTTCTTTCCACGAGTGATATGGCTGACCCTATCCAAGAGCGACGACAGAAGAAAGCTGAGGCCACGCGTTCACTGAGTTCAATCCGATGGAAATGTGATCGTAGAAACAATTATCATGCAAGAAATGTTATATTGACCAGGCCGGACGGTGCATCAATGACAGAACACGAGAGCACGTAGGATCTGTGAAGACCATGGCAGCAGGACATATATCAGCCCATTGCCGTGCTAGTAAAGGCAGCCCAGCGCTCAACAGTCTATCAGCACTTGCGCGAAACTGGAATCCGTATTCGCACGAGATCCTTGACGCACTGGCGATAGAAAAAAAATAGAAAAGAAAGATTGTTAGCGGCACCTCGATTGCCCTCAAAGAGGAAAAAAAAAGCAATATTTTCGGTGCTTCAGGCCTCCGCGAGCTGTGTGGAGGATATGCGGGTGAATTGCTTTGACCTTAACTTATTTACAACAGTGTAATTTTTGTGAACTGAAGAGGTACTACTTCGGATGAAGGACGAAGGAGAGGAAGTACTTAGGTTTAAAGACGAAAAAGAAGAATCATAATCTAGTTGATAGTTAGCTGTGTGTTTGTCCATTTCTATCCGTTGTGTTCGTGTTTATCTTCCTGCTGTCACATTTACCTGACAAATTTTGGACATCGTCAAACGCTGATCGTCCTCAGTTTACTTATGATACTAAAAAAAATCTGGTGCGTCTCCGTTTTTGTAAATCTGTTGAAATTGAGAGCCGATTGCTGCAATCTACGGAGGAAGCTTGGCTAATGACGTGGCTGTAAATAGGCTTAGATAACAAAAAATAATCTGCTATGAGAGACTCACCTTGACGTTTCACGCCATGCTCACTGTCGCATTGCGAATCGCCTGTAAACGTAACTCCCAGGAACGAAAGGAAACTGCTTTTGAAGTTATCTAATATATGGAAAATATTATTGAGACGTTTTCTATATTTTACAGCAGTTCAGAGAATTTGCTATTTTTGTCCCCTGGAGGTATGTTAACGGAAATCTTTCTACGTTTAGGCAACGACGCTTCGAAAGAATCTACCCTAAATGAGCACTCACAACATTCGAAGCTCGACGTGCTGTGTTTCTCCGGTTCCATCAACGGTCTTCTCTCTGAAACAAAGGGAAAGGCACCGAAATGCAGTCGGTGTGAAGGCTGTTGCACTTGTCGCGGTATTTATATTCGAAGGCAAAGTGTATATACTATTGAATCAAGGTATACCAGAGTAGTTTTCACGCCATATATGCGCATGCATTAGCAAGATCCTATTAACTATCAAATATTTTACTAAAAATAATTCCATAAAAATATTCCAGAATTTTTTCTTTTACTTTTTTTTTATAAATCAAACAGGAGGTGCATAAAATATTCAAATCCCCGAACCCCCGTCTGAAACCGGCGGTTGCAAATTCACCCGCTATCTACGCCTAGGTTCCCCCCGCTTTTCATGCCCGGCTAACTCCAAAGCACTGCAACTTTGTGCATTGTTCAAATATTCTAGTCCTAAAGGATAACACGTAACTTCAATTTCTTCAACAAGTACTGCAGTTGAGCAAATCTTTTTATCATAATTTTTTTAAACGCTCGGAAAAACAAAGGATTAGAGGGGCGCTCAAACACAGCATTGTCTGGCAACTGAAAATGTTAATTCTGCACGAAACTGGAAGCGAGCAAGAAACGGGAAGATAGTAACCAAACAATCAACCCGATAACACACCCCCAGCATGCCGACGCGCGCCTAGAGAAACTTGCCGCATCTTTTGGTAAAATCAAACTCGACCCCCGCCAAGGCCACCGACGGGGCAGTAACACACATGCTCTTTTCATAACTGGCAATAAAAAGGGACTCATCAATTTCTCTCGCTATATTGTTTAGTCTTGATCTCTTCGAAAAACGTCGAACACACATGCACATCTGTCACAGTGAACCGTATTTCTGCTTAAGACAGTTTCGACCGCTAGTTCTTTCCAGAACTGGCTCGGCTGCGACAGATAAAGGAGGAATTCTTAAGAACACAAAAGGGAAGGACACCGTGGTGCTGTATTCATTCAACTATTGCTTGCAGAAAAAAAAAGTGGCAGAACTGCTTGGTGATATGCTAAATACTAAGTTCTTAACTGCCAATCCGTTGTGCTCCCTGAAAAACGTAAAGTCACCCAGAAAACATAAGGGTTGTCCAACAGCGAGCTGAATATTCTGGACTTCTTCATGATGATCATGCGATTTTGCTGTATTTAAGAAGCGTAACTATTGCTCCCAGAAACCTCTGTGTGCTTCTATTGGGAGTATTGACTGGCGGCCATATCCGTGTGCGCTGCTGCTGAGCGCGTGCTGACGGCGAACTTCCGCAGTCCTTTTGGAGCGTGCATTTAGCACCATCAAGGTTGCCGGTCTTAGCAGGCTATTAATGTGACCTCGTTCTGAGCATGCGCTCTAAACAGCACCCACAAATATGGCGTCCAGTGAATACCTCCCATGTAAATGAACAACCTACAATTCTGTTTTGTTGACAAGCATGAAGCCCATAAAGAATCACTAGGGAAGGAAATGCGTCTTGAATAAATAAATAAAAAATCAGAGCTGACCGAGGGGATTGGAGCACTGGCAAGGAGGGATAATTGGGCACAGGAGTATTGATACTCGGGCAAGCAAGACACGGACTTTTCTCAGTGGGTTTTCTGGCACTTGGGGAAAAGGCGCGTGGAATCGAGACGGTAGACCTGCTACGGCGGAATCGTGCTACAGCCTGCAGAACTATGTTTTATGAGAAACGCAGCGAACGTTAACTCCAGTCTCCACCTTCCAGGCACGCGACGCTGTGTCAGCACCTTCACGTTTTCTTTTTCGACAATTACTTTCTTGATGCTATATTAAATGCGACAGCATTTAATATGGGGGGATCGGTGGCCGAGTGGGCTAAAGCGCACACCCAGCTCGATGCGCGTGGAGCGAAAGCTCGCGCTGCAGAACCCAGGATCCTGGGTTCGAGCAGTTTGAGCCCCACCCCTGCCCGTTTCGATCTGGATGAGCATCGTACCGGCGTGCGGTCGTGTATCACTACTGCGTGGTGCACGTTAAAGACCCCAGGCTAGCGGTTGTACCGCACTGGCTAAATTGCTCATCTACAACGGGTAACAATGTCGCCATGTTCTGGCAGACTAAGCTCCTGCTGTATAAACAACTAACGACTAATTTGCTTGTTTTTTTAGCATTTCATATGAAAGTGAAAAAAAATTCACCACGTGATTGGGCCATATTTGTTTTCATCGGCACACTTTACATGATTTGTTTATTTCTTGATGCAAAACAAACCAGTTATATCTGACATGAATTACGAAGAACACTTAAAACACAACCTAGTATCTGCAGCTCTCAAATTTATCTACACAGTTTTTATTTTTCTGGCGTTCCTGGAATGCCAAATCTTAAATATTTTGAGAAAAATATTACATTAATAATTACATTTAGAAATGTTTTCACGAAGTGTAAAACATATTCCTCAATCTGATATGACACGAAATGCTTCCAGGGATGCAGAATAGTTGTGACTTCTCTTTTTTTAAATAAATAAAACAAATAAGACTACTTCGTGAAACTAAATGGCGCTTTAAATTGAAGTGGAGGTGCTTAAATGTACTAACCGACCATGCAAATAAAAAGCGCTCTAATGTCTTGTTTGTGTGTCTAAGGACTTAATGCGGTCTTTTTTGTTGTTTTTGTTGTTTTTATATGTAGTTTGGCGGAATGGCAGTAACACGAATATCCTGGCCGATATGACCGACTATACTATACGTTTTACTCTAAGCTCGACCGCAGACGACGCTACGACCCGAAGATTCCAAGCTGGCAGTACCGAAAGTACATCGTCATGGCACTCCATTTAAAGCATTCAGCAGTTTTCCGGAAGGATGAATGCGGAGAGCAAGTTTGTCTGCTTCTTTTTGCATGATTTGTGGTGACGTCAAAAATACGCCGAGCTCTACTTTACTCCGAGTGGAGGGATAGTGAATAGACCAGAAAGCAGCTTGCTTTGAGGTCTATCCATTATCTTTCAATCAGAAGCAATCAGAGCTCGGCGTCTTCCTGGCGTTACCGTAGCCCCTGCAAAAAGAAGCAGACGAAATTGCGCTCCGCATTCCCCCTAACGTAATGCTGTTAGGGGGAACCGATGTGGACCATCAGACGTCGTCAGAACCGCACCAACGTAGTCCTCGCCACATCTCTTTACGTGTTATTTAGTTGCTGAACTAATCATAAACAAAAAAGACCCAGTGACGTGCGCTTTTGACGCTCCTTGGTCGGTTCATTAACTTGTATAGCGTCGTCTGCGTCTGGACTTACGCTGGAACAAAACATAGCGACATGTTCGCCTGCTTCGCGGCTCTGATCCTGCACTTCCGGGGTCCACCGGTCTTGTGAATGATGTACCGAAAATCCACCATGTATCAATAGTGATGCTGAAAAATACTGGGTGGTTCAGCGATCGTGGCGCAAGGTTGAATTGCGGAGTACACTCCCGGTACGAGCCAGACGTCCTGGAAGGAGCGGCTAAAATTCTGCTTCAAGGGCAACGACGTAACACTGCTCCCAAGCCAATGAGAATGAGCTAGTCGCTGATAAGGACACAAAATAGCGAATTACGAAGCAAGGAACGTAAACATATATTAAGCCACGACCTGCATTTATTAGGCTGTCAGTGACTGTAATTCCCGATGTTGACGCCAAGAGATGGCGTTAACGTCGTGCAGTTTCATTTCTTATTTCACTCCACTCTACCTTCATGGCCAACGTACACGTTGGAACTTCCAGGTCGGAGGACCGAGCTTCACACTTTCCTTCATTATCTCGTATGCCTTCGTCAGCTGTCAGGAGTCAGCAACAATCTTCAGTGCCACTTCTAGCAAAGCTGACGTCCGCTGAGGGGGTTAAGGGGACATATTTTTGACCTACTTTGCTCACACTGTCAGGATATATACACGTAGTACATTATCATTAAATTTAGATAAAGTATCCTTAATAGCACACAAAAACTACGACTGTGCATAATATTCCACCATGACTACCATCTCTCAAAGACGAGCAAGCCGACGAAATTGGAGAGGAGGCACCTTCGAGAGATACGTCGACCCAGTTTAAAAGTCGCGCGTTCATTGTTGTTACAGGCTTTAGCTGAGCAAGTTGGTTTATTGCTTGTGAATGGGGTCAGCTGAACATAAAAAAACACACAGAGAAAAAATATAACATTCGCACCGCTGGACTAGCAACATTTGATGCCACTTTTTCCTTTTCTGCTAATCATTGCTATCGGTTTTCTTTTTCTTTACACAAACTTAGATTTTTTTAAATTCTTTACACTAGGTTTACGTGTTATTTTTTTACATTTGATTTTAAATTTCTTTTCCTTCAACGCATTGACCTCTCTGCTGTCGGAATGTTCTCATCCCTTTTCTTCCGTCTTAAGCGATCTTTTACTTCTATTTTTGCCTGGAATTCATTTCATTCCGCAGGAACATCGTCTCTGGGTCGTGTAGTGCAACGGAAGAGGCACTAACACAGTCCCCGCCTTTTCCTTCGATGGCTAGGGCTTCCAGTAGTTCACGGGGGAGTTGATTTTTATGTCGCCCCACGATGTTTACGTTGCACAACGTTGCTTCGCATGGGCATGCGCGACAATGGGCTGCAAGGTGTCCTGCTGTTGTCAAGTTTCGTAGAGACGTGGCATGTTCCCTGGTTCTATCATTAATAGGGCGCCCTGCCTGCCCAATAGAACACCTTCCACATGTTAATGGAATGTTATAAATTACTTATTTTTGACATTAGGCGTACCTTTTTTTGTGTGCGATGTCACATGCATCATGGTGCCTACGTTGGTTTTCGTTTACCCTGCCGCACATTGTATACCCTTTGTTCGGCGCGAAGCTTATCACTTGGACCCCTTGCCGGCCTGCAATTTTTTTTAGCCGGTGAGTGATGCCATGGAGATATGGTGCTACCACGACGGAATATCCAGACTTTTTTTTGTTGTTGTTTGCTCTATGCCTTCCTGTCAGCGCTTCAACTTCTGGGAGATCTTTTCACATATTGATACTAGTAGTGTTTCCAAATATCCAGCTTCAAGTAGCCTGGATATCTGTGTGTCAAAACTCTTCTGGGACCGGTGTTCGCATGACTTCTTTAAGGCTGATGTTAGGGCCGTAGTGGCGACCTCACGTTTGACGTTCTTTGAATGTCTGGATTCGAATGGAAGAAATCCTTTGCAGAACCGAGCTTGGTATCGCCAGCAGACGCGGCCAACTTTAAAGTCTAAGGCAGGATCTAGGAATCTGATAGATTTGTTTACGAGTAGTTCATGAGTGAACTCAAGTCCTGAGCCGCTCTGTTCAAAGCACCTCATGACATACTCACGGCGACCGTTGTCTTGTTCTTCTACCTCCATGTTACAAAGTATTAAAAAATTATCAGCGTAGCGGAAGATGACTTCAATCCAGGGACCTTCCATGCTTCGTTGGATAGCGAATCCGCATGTTGCGAGAAACACATCGCTGAGTTAAGGAGCCACTCGAGACCCGATGCAAACACCGCTTTTTTGCACATACTGCTGATCTTGATAGGACACCACCGTCACCTTCAGGTAAACACTTATTAATTCCAAAAAGCTGTCGAGGGACATGCCAGCGGTGCTAGTCCACCGTTGCTAGTCCAGCGGTGCGAATGTTATATTTTTTCTTTGTGTGTTTTTCACGTTCAGCTGGCCCCATTCACATTCATGGTTGATTTTGATAGATTCCCACAAAGCAGCTAGCACCTTGAAACATGTTAATTTGAATTCTCGGGCCGAACGACGCGGGGTGTGGCGCGCCCCTGGAATCTTATTGTCGCTCCGCAAACAATCGGGTAGCCGGATGATTAGCCAACGGCGACGCAACATGTGTGAGCATAACCAACCACAGCCGACATTATTTAAGCCGCCAGTGGTGGCTATATCAGTGCCAACTATCGCTCCTCAATTCTCGAACCTCGATACACTACTCAACCTTCCTCCCCAATCCTCGATGCTTCTCAATCCTCGATACACGCTCAAGATCAAACTGGCACTGGCTGCTAGACTCTTCTCCTACGTGTCTTCCCTTGGGGGAAGACACCGATGGGAGAGCTCGAGCGGGAACAAACGCAGTGACTGTGCAGCCTTGTACTGAGTTTCGGTATCATATCTTTCGAATAACTCGGCGGGTGAACCAGATAATTTGTTTCTTGTCGTCCTCTTTCAAGATTTCAAGGCAGTTAAAAAGAATAAAAGAAAAATACCTAAAGAAACGGCACATAAAATGTGGAGTCAGTCTTCGGCAAGCTTTACACTCTGGTGACAGAAAACAAAACTTTGAGGGAGGATTGGTGTGCGACGGAGCGACCAATGCGCCGAGAAACTGAGGGAAAGAAGGAAACGGGAGCGCCTGGGGAAGTCAAAACGCCGAGCTCTGATTCGCATGATTAGTGGGTACAAATAGAACTAGCGATCTTTGCCTACACCGCGCTCGTCGAACCCGTTCGAATGCGAGAGCCAAACTGTGGATGCCGGCGTTTCGCGTCTTTGACGAGTGGAGTGGTGGCAAAGGCAGCAAGCTTTGGGTGTACGCACTGATCCCACCAACCAGAGATTGGCGTTCACACGGCCCCATGTGCTCTCCTCTCCTTTTCCACCGTTTCTTGGCGCATAGATGTTGGCATGGGCGAGGAAGTGAAGATCAGCAGAACGCACGCATATCACGTTTGTCTTAACGGCATCGATACGCCCTTTCTGTGCAGGAACTTTTCAGAGCTCATTGTCTGTATGTGCTACGCTACGGGCTTCCATATTTGGCTTTCCGACACAATAATATGTTGTACGCTGAACTAAACGCTGGAAACATTATGAATGGCATTTTGACCCCTGCCATATTTCTTTGCTTCTGTGGACATGCACGTGCAGGTACAGTCCAGCTAAATTTACGTTCACGCGTGCGTAGCTCGAGCATGAGGCGTTGGTGTGACAACATGCTTGCGACTGTGCGTAAATGAACGTAGTTACAAAATGCTGGGCCTCTAATCCAAGTAATACTATGTAATATTTACTTATTTAATTATTTAGATATTTAGTTATTTTTTTATTTTTTGTATACTCTTTATTCGTGTGATTATTAACTTGTTCTTGCGTGTATATATTTATTTATTCATTTTTTTACTTATCTATTTATTTATTTTTATTTTTTTATATGTTTATACTTTTATTTTTTGTTTGTGTGTGTTCGTGCTGTTTTGTTTGTTTGATTTATTGTTCATTTATTCATTTATTTATTTGCTGTTTTCACAAGTGCCGAGGTCCATATATTATGACAGAGCAGTGAAAATGGTAAACGTATACAAATGCACTTAAATATACACACAGGTATACGCAGTAACATGGCGTGATATCTCCACTCAAATATACCTAATGTACACAACGAAAAATTCACACGAAAATACAAACAATATTAAACTTTACTACAAAGAGAAATAATCACAATATCAGGGAAAAGCATTATTCAATTTCGTTTATCAAAGATTGAAAAGAAAAATGCGTCATTCGACAGCATTGAAACTATGATCTGGCTAGCCGATTACATTCTTCAAATTTAAGCGAAAAAAGAAACGGGTGTTTGAAAGCATCAGTTCAGCAGTTGAGCGTGATCTTTTTCTTATGAAATAAAATATTGTGGATGAAAATTCCAACTCTTGCATTCTTGTATTGTTCGAGTTTGTGTTATGGATCAGCTTTAGATGAAACATTTCTTTGCGAAAGTATAGTGGCATACATTGAAGGTCCCTTCTGATGGCACTGATGCTTTCATCATACCCACACTGTTTAGAAACGAATCTCGCAGATATGTTTTCTATTGTTTTGTTGTTGCCGTACCTCAAGTGCCCGTTGAAGGCAATCCTCCACTTTCGCATTGGCTGCAGGCAGGTCAGGTGGAGCCTCCCCGCCGAGAAGCGCCGCGACTCCTGGTTCGAACCGTCGGCGAACGCAGCCCTGGTCAGGCCCCACGTCCGGCCATCGGCGTCCCTGAGCCTGAAGCAGGCCCTGACCGCTCCTCCGGGCTCCCTGGCGACCCAGACTAGGAGACTCTCGCCCGAAGAATTGCAGCCCCAGCAGAGGAACTCGTCCACGTGCTACGGCAAAAAAAAAAAAAATGCATTTTGCTTCCTTTTCACCTTAGTTGAGTGTAATTTACTTCATTGAGAAACCTACTTCGAAGCCAACGTAATATTTCTCGCTTTACGCTTTTTATCGTTTATTTCTTTCCAATTATTCCTCAACCCCCCCCCCCCCCCCCAAAAAAAAAAAAAGAACGAAAGAAAATTTGTGCAAGGGAGGTTATTCAAATAGAATTATTTTCCTTATGGAAAGTTTCCATTTTACACCCACAATTTCAAAGTTCGGGTTAGTGTTGGTAGACGCTGAACATCGACAATAAATATGAAAAAGAGCGTGTGCACAAGGACCGGCACCCGTGTCGTAATCCGCCTTCTTGCGCTTACTTCTTACGAAGAAATGTTCAACGCAGTAAAAAGTATCGCTTTGTTTATTACCACTGCACACGGTCTCGACCTCTCAGCTGCCGATCAATGTAAAGCCGCACCAAACAAAAACGCGCTGGAAGTAAGGACCACTCAACCACGCTTCCAAAACTTCCTACTATATTTTTTTAGATACTTACCGCTGGTCTTGAGCAATGTACAATTGTGGTTTCTAAGGCTCAGTCTCAATAAAAAAAAACGTCGCCTTACAGTTCTTTATCTTGGCTTTAAGTTCACCGCCGTTCTGGGCGCACTTGGGCACTAATAGTTTTTTCTCTTCAGCACAGAATGTGTTTATGGGCAGGATTTCATGCGAGAAGCAACGCGCCCGAGCGTGACGAAAGGCCTTCATACTCAAGCCAAGGCTACATAAAGCACACGTTGCCAATATCAGGAAATGCGTCAGCGTACTAAGCAGATAGAAGTATGTACACTTAGCCAAAATTAATAAAACGTAATCACAATTATCTAAATTTACCTTGCGCCGCAGCGCGTATCCCGACCCTGAGTGTGCGATTTGTAGTCAAGCGCCTTTTGCTCGGCGTTCACGAGGTGGTGGCAAACAGAAGCGCAAGCAGCTGGGCTAAGTATGTCTCGAGGGAGCCTGCGGTAGTAGACGACCGTACACACGCACAGCTAACTTCTGAATTACAAAACGTAGCCCACTGAGTGATCTTATAATATTAGGGGTCATTAATAAATTTAAACTTGTTCATTCTGTTAAACTGCGGCATTCTATGAGTCAGTATTGGAATGCGTTACGAGAATGACGTTACTTGAAATGCGTTAGATTTTTAGTAACGTACTGACGTGCTCGTTTGAATTTAAAATGACTATGATTCTCTTAACTAGACAGCAAAAGAAAAATTTCGTATTTTTTTCTCGGGATCATTTTAGAGTTTTACAATTGTTTCGGCTCAAAACAAGCCACAAGTTCCTTGGCGGCTCGAAACCCGCACCCGCCTCCACTACATAGGAAGGCCTTTCTAACAAGAGGGCCCTGATGCTTTTCGAATATCATTCTCGTCGTGTCGTAGACTCACATCCGCCTCACTAGAACCAACTGCCGTCTGGACGGCAAGAATATGTCGGCCATCGGAGATTTTGTTCTCAGTTCTTAGATAAATCCGCTGTTCAGAATTTCCGTTAAAAAATGTAGTTAATTGGCATTCTATCAACCCCACCTTGGGCAAAAAAGTATTACGCTTGAGAAAGTCGATCATTTAAAATCTACAAATTAAACAATATAACACATCGTAAAATCAATTACAATATTTGATTTGTGTCTCAGTTAATGTCCGTGGCTTATAGAAGCAAAACAAAGGGGAAATCAAAAGTAACGCAGAAGTAACGTTCGTTGGACCTTTAGGAAGAATGGTAACGGTATTTCGTTATTTTGCAGGACAGCAACGAATATAAACTGCAATTTCCGGCGAACTAACCAGTCAAGTTATTTTGTTTTGGTAACGGCCACGATACTGCATGAATGTGTCATGAGAGCAACGCACCGGGAACCACCCAAAGCATTTCGCAACCAAGCATAAGAAGTCATAACGTATGCATCATGCAAGCATGACACATTGTGTTCCTTAAGTTTATTAAAATGACAAACACAAGTTTTCTTGTGTATTTTTTTTTCGCATGTATGGTAGATAGCACGCAGTGTCGGGATCTACAAAAATTCTGGAAATCCGTTTATATCCCTCGTCATAATTTTAGCAGTTTCCGATCGTAAAACTGAGACGCCATTAGTTTACTTTGACTTACCGCTGATAAGCAATTAAACTACAATTCCGGTCCAGGGCTACTAAGCTGGCACCATACTTTGATGCTGAGCCGAGGTAGAGGGCTGCCACCGATGCACCGGGATACAGAATACGCCGATTCAACAGAAACAGCTGTTTCCGCTGCCTCGAAGGCTGTCAATGACGATAGATGGCGGCAGCCACCTCTTCCAGTTCAACGTGGGAACCTCAAGACTGCTCGTGTCCAGCCGTTATCACTACGCAAACGCTGTCGGCTCCAAGGCCATTAGATAGCCGCGGAGTAAGATCTATTCTCTGATAATGTATTTGGGCTAGCACAGTAGTCGCACAGCCTAGTAACCTCCTTTCCACTCAGAAATTTTATCAGTTCTCAGGGGTCTCCAGGGAGTGCAGTATGCATGGGAAAAAACGGGCTATTCCGTTATAATTATAATGCAATTAAATGCAAAGGTGCAAGCGAGCTGGGCAAGAATGACGAAAATAATCCCTGGAGAAGGGGAACAAGAGGGACAAAGGACAAACATAAATCTCCAAACACAGCTAGGTGACTGGTGAGCGACCGAAAAAATCCGCCTGGTCCGGCTATCGAACCCGGGACCTCTCCATTATAAGTGGAGCGCTCTACCAACTCAGCTAACCAGGGGTTAGACGTCAGTAGAGCAAACGGGTTTTATCAGCTGCCACCAGTCTAACACCAACAAGGGTGAAACTTGCAAATTTAAGGTTATAATTATAATGCAATTAAATGCAAAGGTGCAAGCGAGCTGGACAAGAATGACGAAAGTAATCCCTGGAGAAGGGGAACAAGAGGGACAAAGGACAAACATAAATCTCCAAACACATTTTTATTGTTATTGTGTTTGGAGATTTATGTTTGTCCTTTGTCCCTCTTGTTCCCCTTCTCCAGGGATTATTTTCGTTATTCCGTTTGCATTTATTCGGGCCCGGTACCACGTGATCAGAGATCCCTGGCGGGAATTTCAACGCACCTCTCGGATCCTGTGTTCTGGCTGCGGCGCCTCCAGCTCCCACTCGATTTCTGGGAAGATGTAGCCGTTCTTGAAAGGGTCGTCCAGGGCATTCAGGTCGTACAGGTCTAGACGACGGTTCTTGGAGCACGAGCGCCACGCCGAGATCCCTTGGGACACGGCCTTCTTCAGCAAGAACGAGGACCCTGCAAGCCATGGCAGCAGAATTAGGATTGCATCGCAGGCTCAATGAAGTGTTGTCCGGCTTTGTTTCTTGTTTTAGAAAAAACATCTTCACTTTTAGTTGACAATGAAAAAGTATCTCTGAATGCATCTGCATCTTGTTTATGCCTGGAACCCTACTTTTAAATAAATTTGTGAACCCAGAACTGAACAACAAATTAAGAACCGACGAAAAACAAACCTCTTAAGCAATTCCGGATAAAAACTTGTATTGTTTTACCACCTATTTCAAATGAACTGCGAACAGTGACGGAACCTGGAGCACACCACTGGCGCAGCTTCCAAGCTTGGGTTGTGCTTGGCGAGGTTCAAACACGCAGAACTCCGGTGTGTTTGAGCCTCGCCAAGCACAGCCCAAGCTTGAAACCTGCGCTGGTAGTGGTGTCGAAGTTTCGTCACTGTTCTCACTTCATTCGAACCCCATGGTACAGTTATACTCAGTCAACGAATGAGAAAAGTTTAAAAAATGTGCCCCTTACAAAGCAAAATAAGGCAGTCAGTCGAAATCCTATTCATAAATTACTGATGTCTAAAAGTCACAAGGTATTTATTTTTATAGATATTCTACAGACGTCCTTTCGACCGAAATCTATGCGTACAGATGTTACAAATACTATAAACATCCCATCACCACATCTCAATAAAATTTCTGTCGCCATGCTTCATGGACATTCTATAGATTAGACATGATATAATAATAAGATGCATTGCGTCAAAAAGTCATCACACCCCAGCTAGAACGTCTTGACCAATTTTTCTTTGCAACTGCTTCAAGACTTTGTCGACACTTGTAATGTTTTATTGTTGAATATACAGTCCATAAAAACTTCTAAAATATCTTTCATGCGCGAAATTGGCGAGAGGGCGCTATATTTTTATTATATTGAACTGGTTGATATAGGGGCCTCTAAAGTATAAGTCATATATGGCGGTGGAGCAGTCATGAGATCGCTAAGCCACTCAAGCCATGCACCAGGTCCATAAACTATGCTTGTCAAGTAATCAAATGCGCCACACGACACTGTAGCGCGAACACGACTTCGGCGCTTTTTTCGCATTTTCCTTTGAAAGGGCACGCATCAAAATTTACCCCTGAGATTAGTACTCCAGCTGAGCACTTTCCATTAATTTACTAGTTTTTATGAAAGCCATGACTAAGAAAAAAACAAAGCCCACTATGGTTGTTTCTCGCTAACAGTGTCGCGGTGTTTACATGAAGGTCAATTAATCCTGTCACTGGGGTGGTAATAAGTAAAGTAAAAACCGTAAGAGAAACCAAAAAAGGGGAAAACAGCATCTGTCCTCGTATCTTTCCTGTGTATATTACTGATTTTACGCTTTCCCTTCCCAGTGTCAGGTTTTATCGTCAATTATGGACCAAATAATTTATAACAATAATAATCCCTGAGGAATGGAAAAAAAACTATTTTGTTCAGCTTGCTTATTCTTGTCCAATATGTAATTCTCCAGTTCGCTAGCACCTTTGTATTAACTGTATTTTTATCAATTAATTTTTTTTTATTAATACTCATGGAAGGTAAATATTGCCACCTTGTTAAATTCTTCCACTCAAAGCTCTTTTCTTTTTTTTTTTTTCTTCGCAATAGGGTTTAAATAAATATCTCTTCTGTGAGACGCACCTTCGGGTTTTTAGGAACAGTTTGTTTTTGGTTCTTGACGACGGTCCAAGGTTGACCTTTTTTCTCGACTTCTGCTGGGATCTTTTTTATAGTTTCCCACAATCTGTTGCTCCCGAACCGATTCAAACTCAACCTTGACCCTACCGAACTAACGTGGATTAAGTGTCTAACATACCGCTCTCAGTTTGTAAATTTAAAGAATTCAAATTTTTTTTGTTCTGTAACGTCCGGTTTCCATCCAGGCTCTGGTTACGACCTATGCTGTTCCTTTTATTTTAACGACTTACCCTCGTGTATTTCGTCATGTCTCGGCATATTTTGGGATGATTGTGCTGTAGATCGCGAAATCACTGATGATTTTGATGTTCCTTTTCTAGAAGATGACCTAAATGTCGTATCATGTGTATCTGATTGGTGCAGACAGTGAAACAAGGCCCTTAACACAAACAAATTATAGGCAATAACATCTTCATGTCTTAAGACCTCCATTTCCACTTACTGCCTCAGTAACATTCCTTTGCTTTGTGCGGCGTCCACACATTTTGTTCGCTGCGAACAATACTTCAAGCCTACCCTGGCCAGACTTGTGCTCGTTGCTTAAAAAATCTAATGAATTACAATTACAAATTACTAAGCCTCAAATGGACTGGATTACCATTACAAATTACTTTCACCAAAAAGTAACGGGATTACTTTACTGGTTACGCTACGAATTACTTTCACGTTACTTTTTTCGTACACTTATGCAGAAAACAACAATTTTGATATTTTTCAAAAATGTTCTACAACCACTACTTTTCATTTCTCACATGCCCGTATTTAGCAGTTCATTTAAAAATAAAATATTGTATTTGAGAGAAACAGTGTAGGTGCACTCCGTTGACCTGTAAGCTGACGAGGCACCGAAAGCTGCAACCACACCCGCCATCCCGCTAGCTTAAGGCCTCCTGAAATGATCAATGGAACTGTGCAGACAAAACTAGCGATTGGCATCCTCTGTAGCTGCCTCCCCTTCTGATACAAGATTCGGAGTTAAAGAAGCGATCTACGAAAGCTCCGTTTCGACTCGGGTGTTTCGCCTGTTATTCACAAGAAAAGAAAAATTTGGTTCTAACGTTACAATGTATTGCCAATGCAGAATGCAGGTGTCCCAGCTTACCTTGATGTGCTTCCGTAGATTTGAGTTTGTTGTTCTTGCTGATGAAAAATTTTTTTTTTTTTTTTTGGCAAGCAAAGTATGCACTGAAACTCTAGGTTTCCGTTCTCCTTAATGCCTCGAATTTCGAACATCTCATTAATAGATGACCGTATAGACGACGGACACTCCATGACCGAAAACTCGACCAGTCAGAGAAAAAGTGGCGGTTACGTGTTATCGATCGTTCATCGGTTCTCACTTTTATACCAATATTCGTGGAGGCCAGGGGAGAGGAGGGCATAGAGAGCGAGAGAAGCGGTGGCCATCGGTCTCACCAAACAATAAAGGAGCACAGCGCACACCACTTTTACGCGTTCTCTTTCTCTCTCCCTCTCTCTGACAGCACTCCTTAGATGGCCTAACCCCCCCCCCTCTTTCTCCCCTTTATGTCGACAGTTTACTGTAAAGTGAGGAGTGGACTTGACCACCATGCCCAGGCAAGTAAACCAAATGAAATCATGGATGAAGAAAGAATAAAACAATTAAAACAGGGACAATGCGACCACATCTTTCAACTAGCAACAGACGAGTAAACTTTCAACAGCGAGCAGCCGACTATACCCAGTAGGAGTAGGGTAGAGAAGGGGGAGAGAAGAAAAAATAAGACACGGCGAAGTGCAAGTCAGGGTGGTAGGGTTATCTCGGATTTTAAAAATTCAACCTCAGTTTTTGTCAGCAGGAGGGAAGGGTTTGACACGTTGTTTTTTGCTGTGGTCATGGCGAATGATTCTATGATTTCCCTGCCGAATCTGCTGTCATTGCCCCCCCCCCCCCCCCCCCCCCCCCCAGGATTTCTGTGTCATCAAACATGACTTAAACCAACACGCTATTCTCCCAAGCAAACCAAAAGAAGTATCGTCCGCACCCTCGAAGACGATGCTCTTAGCCTCGCGCCGGGCGCTTTTCAGCCGTGTCTCAAGAGCGTGCTATAATAAAGTAGCGCACATCAAAGACAAAGAGAATTCGACGCCCTTGCGCGAGGTATATACATCTGTTACGCGATTTGTGAACCCGCGATTCGAGGGAGTACGGACCCGCGTTTGATGTCTGTGCAGGTCAAAGAGATCGAAGAAGTTGGAAAGTGTGAAACCGTGTAAAAGACAGAACCAGATAAACACGCAGGGAGTTTCTTCTGCTCGGGAGAAGAAAAACAGGACGGAAGGCGACGGAGAGCCTACTCGGCATGGTCTTACTTGATCTTTGTCTTTCGTATATTTGTGCATGCTTTCCCCGTTTTTTTAGTGGTTATAGTGACCGGTCATACAAAAAATCGTGTTTTCTTTTCAGCTATATTCCCCTTTCTGGTGTTTTCTATTTTGTTGAACTTGATATTTTTATACTCCTGAATGTTCTGCTCGTATTGCTTCAGTTACTGTATTATGCTCATATTTTTAAAAAGTAACGAGCAATTAAAGTAATCCGTTACCAATATTTTGTAACGAAGTTGGATTACAAATTACTTAAAAAAGTAACCTGCCAATAACTAAATTACAAAATTACTTAAAAAATAACGGATTACAAGTTATCCGTTACTTGTAATGGATTACTTCTCAAGTATGATCCTGGCAAACCCACATTCATCACATTTTTGCTAAAGATAATGCTTAAGTTGTGCTACATATCACGTAACGTCCCCTTAGTTCGGCAAAGTGGATAGGGCTGTTTACACTGCAACATTTCCTATAAATGGTTCGACGTAGTTGGTGTGACGACAAAGCGTGGGCATAAACTGCTGTGTTGTGCGTGGCAAATAAAATCGCGAGCACAACCGCACCAATTGAGTCAGGCATAAGAATTCGGCAATTGACACTGAGTGAAAGGGTCAACATCCCTTTTCGATAGACGCAGCTAGCAGCCAACAGAGTGCGTCGTCTGCTGGCTGTGCCCATCGGGAAATAACGCAACCAGTTAGGTGCATCGCTAGTTAGGTCGTCCGCGAAAACACGCCCACCATTGACCTAAACAAGTTTTCTATTCTCAATTATTAAAAAAAAAAAAATAACTATGTTTTCAAATTTTGGAACGTAAAACTTACCACCCCAATGCACATTCAGTCAAATTTTGAGCTTCCCACGAGGAGGCGTCGAGTTTTCTGGCTCGTGTTACATGTAAGTTTGATCATGTG